GCCACTTTCTGAAGCAGCTCTGCAAGTCCTCTTCTACAAGGACTTGATGAAGTATGATCAAAAATATAGAGAATGCTGCTTCCAAGTACCATGCCACAGAAAGGCAGGCTTGTGAAAACATTACTGTATGTCCTCAACCACCTTACTTGCTGGATCTGGCACTGTGGATCCACAGATTCTTCTGAAAGTCAAAACTCCAGGAAAGGAATCAATTCAGACTATCAGTGCAACCATGACAGTGCAACCAAAGACATGCACGAAAGAGCACTTCCAGAGCTGCTGCAGAAAGTGGCAAGTATGATGGGAAAGTGTGCTGGGGGAGGGGTATTTTGAGAAGATTCATGGCAATGTGTCTTTTACTGTATATTTTTTAAAATTTAAACACAAACCTGATATTACATATTTAATGTTCCAGAAGAATTAAGAGCCAGAATCAATACATTTGAGGAGATAATGGCTGAGCACTTTCTAGAACTGATGAAAGAAGTATATACTCAAGATTCCCTATTAGTACCCAGGGAAATAACACAAAGGGACTATACTTAAATTATAATAGGTGAAAAATTACCAAAGGTAAGTTGAAAACCTCTCACATATTCAGAGGGGCAAAAAATTATTTCAAAGCCAAATTAAATTTGGCAGTTAAATTTCCATGAGCAAGAATAAAAGATAAAAAGCAGTACAATAACTTGACATTCTAATTGAAAAAAATGTGTCAATCTGGTATTATATACACAGTACAATTTATTCAAGAATAGAAGTGAGACAGGTATATTTAGACAAGCAAATTTTGAATTCTACTTTAAATTTTAAAATAAAATTAAAATCAACACATAATGTGGTTAGAGTTGCCCAATAGAATTGAAAAGTCTTATGGTCCTATATAATAGAGGAAGACAGCACTGCATATATGGAATTGTCTTACTATTCTCTCACGGCTGAGACAAAATGCTCACAGTTAAGGAAAGAAAGGCTTATTTAGCTCAGTTTGTAGAAGTTTCAGTCCTTAGTCTTCCGGCCTCGAATCAGAGTGGCACATGCAGAGGTGGAAGATACCAAAAGCAACACAATCAAAAAAGTGGGGAACAGGCCTCTTTCTGCCCTTTCTCTCTTACCCACACTGCCGGGGTTAGGGAAGAGCCAGTTCAGTCAGTGGACTGATCCAGCAGCCACTCGCCCTTCACACCAGCACCTGGATCCCAGCACTGCACTATGCATCAGTCTCACACTAGATTCAGCTGCCTCCGAAAAGCCTGCTCCTGTGACCACATGAGCCTTTGGGGGGACTCCAGACACAAACCGTAACAGGGCATGGTCCAAATAGACAGTGAATGTTTAGTATTTTTTTTTTACAGTGAAAGCCACATTTATACCCTTTAAAATGTTGTCTCATTTTTGAACACTTATTCTCTCGTTCTTACCACTTTCTGGAGCACTTCTGTAAGTTTTCTTTCATCTCTTCATGATCAAAACTACACCGAATGCTACTGCAACTCCCCTCCAACAGAATGTAAAACCGTTACAGTTTGCCCTCATCTACCTCATTCACCAGATCTGGCTCAAGTGACTCTGGCTCTTCCTAAAGTCAAAATGACCATGAAAGGTGGTATTTTGAATTGATTCAGGATGTCAAGACAGCAATTAAACGCGATTGGGAAAAAGAACTCTAGAACTGCTTCAGAGGGATAGGATAAGTGTTTGCAAAGTGAAGGGGGTATTTTGAGGGGATTAATGGCAATGTGTCTTTTACTGTAATAAATGTTTATATTTGTTAATCATACCTCACACAAATGAGTACAACTGAAAATGAGGAAACATTCTAGCAAAATACAAAGATATTAGAAAAGAAAGAATGGTTGGCACACAGAGAACATAAACTGGCACATTATACAAAAATAATTACATTACATATGAATAGATTAAATATTCTAGTCTATGAAGCAAAGGACACAGGAGTCCAACTACTGGCTGTTTACAAGTGACATTAGCATAAATGTAAATATATACATCAAAAATAGGCAGCATTGCATTGTAGACAAAAGTTTTTATACAGGTTCACACTATGTAGTTCAGGCTGGTCTGGACTCACAATGTAGCCTCGGCTAGCCTCAGACACAGCAATCCTCCTGCCCTTGTCAGGTGCTGGGATTACAGGAGTCATTATGCCCAGCTTAGAAAATTTGAACAAAAGAACACTTAAAGGCAAAAACATTACTCTAAATAAAGTTACTTTATGATGAAAGTTTTAATACACCTTAAGATAAATATTAGGTTACTTAAATTTACCTAATATCATATTTTTATTTATTCAAAATAAAAATTAAACAAGAGAAATTAGCAGATACTTAATCATAATGAAGGGCTTTAACATTATTTTAGTAATTGATAGACTAACAAAAATTAGAGAGTAAGATTCGAACAGTATTGCTAACAAATGTTATATAGTAAATACACATATGCTACTAAATCTAGGTATATATACTTTAATGATTGTGAAATACATTCATTTAACCACAAATTAACAACTTTTTAATTGGCATGAATTGTACTAAGCACACTATAAATACAACTCAAACTGTCAAAGGAAATAAGTATACAGACCACGTTCCCAAGCTGTAATGCAACCAAACTAAAAAAGTAGAAAAACAGTTAGGAAAACTCTATACTTTTGGGAATTAAGAACTACACTTAGTGCCAGGCATGGTGGCACATTGTAATCCCCGCACTTGGGAGACTGAGGCAAGAGGGTCACCATGAGTGAAGGCCAACCTGGGCTATAAAGTGAATTCAAGGCCAGCCTGAACTATATAGTGAAAAACCTTGTTTCAAAAAGACAAAAAAGAAACCCTAGACTTTTAAGTAGACTTTGGACCAATGAAGCAAAGTTTAATATGGCATTTAAAGCTAAACAAATACTACATATTATGAGAGTTATCTAACACGTATCTAGAGAAATATATAGCATGAAATGTATTAACATAGTAAATAACATATTATCTGAATTTTTGGCAGGAAAGAATTTTATATAACCACAAAAATTTATGAATTAGAATTCAGTAAACCTAAAAACTTTTGTCTATTAAAAAACTGATCACAAGGGCTGGGGATTTAGTTCAGCAGCATAAGTACCTGCCTAGCAAGCATGAGGTCGTGAGTTCGATCCCCAGTACAAAAAAAAAAAATCACAAACACACCATCAAGACACAGAAGTACAAACCACAGAAAGAAAGATGGTCTTATACGATAGGTAACCAGAGAGAAGAGCCCAGAACTGAGATCTGACAAATTGCCAGGGGTATTTATAAAATGACAGTTCTGTAGATGGTGGAGGAAGACATTCTGTACACTACATAAGCAAGGACATTGGCTAATATTCAAAATGATGTTAAACCAAAATCAGGGGTAGTTGAATTAAAATTTCAACGCACACATGTCAGAAATTTAAAATACCAAGAGTTGCTAAGAAAGTAAATCAACAGACACAGCTATTAAAACGTTATTTTGCCACAATATCAAAATTATTACACACAAGCACACTTTATAACCCAGAAATTCTACTCATAAAAATATTAACTACAAAAGATGATTCATACATGTTCACAGAAATATACATGATTCTTCAGAGTGGCTTTAGAAAAATAAAGATGTTCCAAAATCCAAATGTCTTGTAACACTGGAATGGATAAATTACGGTATATTTGCATTTCTGAGTGCTGAATTTTGGTGAAGAGCCGTATCCTTCACCTACAGCGTCAGCATCAAAGGATGACTGAGCAAAAGCACAAGATACACATAGTGTGGTATCATTTGTTTACAGTTTGAATCAGTTTGATAAACCTGAGCTATTTAGGAATACATAGAAAGTAAAACGATGAAGTAGGTTTTGGTTGAGGTTTTATGTTTTGGGGGGTCCTGAGATTTAAACCTAGGTTCTCCACACTGAGCTCTGTCCCAGCCCTCACACTTTGGTTTTTAGTGTTGAGACAGGGTCTTGGTAAATTGCCTAGACTCAGCGCAAACCTGAGATCAGCCTTCCAGAGTGCTGGCATTATGTCTGTACCACCACACCCAGCTAGCAGGATTTTCATGAGAGGATTTTCAGAACAGTAAGTGACTATTCAGAAGGGAAGAAGTGAACAGGAATGGGCCAGTGTGGATGGATTCTAAGCCAGTTTTCTTGTTTTCGGCTTATGCTGCTGCACAGGCGTTCGCTTCCTAATCACCCTGCACACATGTGACAGTGTCTTGTGAGAGTGCAGTGTTTTTCACAGTGCAAAAGTGAAAAAACAGAGGCAGTGGAATCAAACACAAAAGGAAAGACACTATCCCCTTATAAAGGAAAAATGGTAGATGTGGGTTTCAGGTGGGGCATCTGAGTGTTTAAAATAGCAACGCCTAAAACCAGACATTCAAAAATATTTGTACTTTAAACCACTACATGTACTACATGTACTTTAAACCACTTGAAACCTTTTGATATTTAATTTAAAATGTAAAGAAGATACGCAATTGAGAAAGATCACAAAGAATATACTACAGAGTGATTTGTAAATATTCACATCTCATGCATTGTTATACAACATTGAGAACCACCTTGGAGATTTCTGTACTAGGTACCATGAGAAAATGAATTCTGAACTTCTAATAACTTGGTCACGTTCCTCAGACTACTTCTTCCAAACGGAGAACCTGCCTACTTACATGGAACAAGCTCCTGGAAGCTCCCTGGGCCTCCACTCAGGGGCTGCAGTGGAGGCCTGGCCGGGTGGCTGCTCCAAGTCCCCGGCCACCTCTTCCTCAGCATGGCACCTTCTGCTTCCAAGCTGGGCCCTTGCTCCTTCCCTGGGCCCTCGTGAACATTGGAGCAGGAAGCGGCTCATGCAGCTGACTCCAGGCCCTAGCATTAGACCCTCCCTAAGCTGATTTTTTATCCATGGCAACCAGAATAACGGCCCCGATTAATTTTATTTTATTCTGCAAAATGTTTATTATTTTCTCACCTTTGTCTTCCAAGTTTTCCAGCTTATGTTTAAAACCTGTGTTTTCCATTAATGACTCTTGGGTTATAATCTACGACACAAACAGGACATACATACAAAAAAATAGAACACAAATTGAATATATGTATGATTATGTCAATAGAATTGCTAAGAAGAAAGTGGTGTTACAGTGTTCTTTAAAACAAAAGTGTGACACATTATACAAATGTAATTCTAGAAAACCAGCCAAGCAACAATTAAATAATACCTGAGACAAATCCTCTTCAACTTCTGAGTCCTCAAAGGAAAAGAGGTCACTCGCGGAGTGAGGACTTTGAAGTTCTAAGTATTAGAGAGAACAGTTTTAAATGAACCCAAGAAACAAAGGCAAATGTTTCACTACTGCTCCATTAAATACTATCATAAAAAGATGGAACACTGTCTTAGATAAAGCAAAAAGCTTTCTACCTTTCAGAGTATGCGTGACTATTAGGTGTGCAGATCAGGAGATAAAACAGTCAATATCAACGGCATCGGCGACCTTAGTAGCTGCCAGTCGGCCCCGAACACATGAGCAAGATTCCTGCCGCCTCAGCTGTGTGGCTCCTTTGTTATTTCACTCTCTGCTTCTATTAGCTTGGCCACCCCAGGTTCCACGTGCAAGGGAGGTTATATGGTACTGCCGCCTTTGGTTAATTTCCCCAGGACAGTGGGTCCTCTAAGCCCATTCACTTTGTCACGAATAGCATTTTCTTGCCATGAAATATGGAAGGTACTATTTTCCATGATGTAACATGATATGCTTATCCAGTGATGGACATTTAGCCCGTTTCCATATCTTGGCAATTGAAAACATTGCACCAGACACAGGAGTACAGATAACTCTTCAGCTCTTGGGTGTATAATTAAAAGGGGAATTATTGGATCACTTTTAATCAATAGAGGAATATCTGAATACTGTTCTATAGTCAGTACCCATTTCCATGTCCCCAACCCTGTATAAGCATTTCCATTTCCCTACATTTTCTCCACAGGTTTCCTCCTTTTTGTAATAGCCATCCTGACAAGAAGTGACAGCTCATTGTGTGGTTTACATTTTGCCGATGACTAGTAATCTTCACATATACTTGTACATTTGTCTATCTTCTTTGGAAAAATGTCTCCTTGTTACTTTACCCATTTTTAATTTGGTTTTCTGCTATTGAGTTATCTGAATTCATTATACAGCACAGTTTGAACATCTTTTATCAGATATGTACTTTGCAAATATTTAAATTCTATAGGTTGCTGGGTGTTTACTGTATTACCAGATGCTTTTTGGTTTGATATGATCCTACTTATTTTTGCTGCTTGTTTTGGTTTATTATTGGGAACCGCAAATTTATAATGGCTAATTTTGCGTACTTCCCTAAGAGATAAATGGAGGCTTGGGATTATGGAATCACCCTTTTGAGACCTCTCATTAACTCTCTGGATGGGCTATCTTCTCCCACCAAGACTACTGAGATGAAAAATACTCCAGAATAAGCTCCCTCTAAGCTTCAGATCATCTCTGCCCTCTTGAGGCATCCCAGGACTATTTCCTGCTGAGCTATGGCCTTCTGAATTTTTCACTAGCTCCTCCCGTCACTGTATACAGCCCCTGCATTGTACACACCCAACAAACAGTGCCTGGTGTGGTGCACCTGGGTCTTTGTCCTGAGGCACTGGCCTCCCAGACCCCCATCACGCAGTACTAACTTTGTCTGTTTCTTATTTTATACTTTGCCACACCCCTCACATAGGCAGTTGAGAATCTTGGCTGGGTGCCCCGTAACACATCCCCAAAACGCTGCCATGACCAATATCAAGAAGCTGTTTCAGCCAGGGACAGTGGGGATCACCTATAACCCAGCTCTATGGGAGTATGAGGCCAGAGGATTGCGAATTCAAGTTCAGCCTGTGCAACATCATAAGACCTTGTCTCAAAAAAAAGAAAAACATCTATTTTCCTAAGAGATTAGTTTCCATATTTATGCCCTTAATCCATTTAATTTTATATGGTAGGAGTCCAATTACATTACTGTATTTGTAGGTACCTGGTTTTCTCACCACTCCCTGAAGAGACTTTCTCTGCCACGTGTCCTCAGAATTCTTCTGAATGAGTAGCTGGCTATTACTGAGCTCTCAATTCCATTCCACTGGTCTGCATCTGTTTGTGCCAAGTTTTATCTTGTAACACAGTTTGAAATGTAAGTATGATGTGTCCAGCTTTGTTGCTCTTTCTTAAGGCTGCTTTGGCTACTTAAGAGTCTTTTGTGGTTTTGTACAAATTTTAGGATTGTTCTTGATGAAAAAGTCACTGAAATTTTTATTAAGCTTGCAGAAACCTGTGGGTTTTGTGTAATAATGTGGACACTTTGACAATATTAGTTCTCCCAATCCATGAACATGGGATACCTTTCCATTTACTTGTGTCTTTGGTTTTTTCTCAATGCCTTGCAAGTTTTGAGTTACACAGGCCTTCTGTCTCCTTGATTAAATTTATTCCTAAATATTCTATGCTTTATATTATTACAAATAGGATCATTTTCTCAATTCCCCTTTCAGGAATAACTCATTACACTCCAAATCAGAGCACAATGGATTCAAATTTACATAAATGAACTTCACATAAGTTTAGTGTGACACCTCCATTCGTGAATATGGCACACACTGATCAAATCCAAGCCCTGCCTCTCTCTCCCCACATCTCCCCACCCCAGACCCCATCTTTAGGAATCATTATTCTACTTAAGATCAGCTTTAGCTTCTGCGTAAGTAAGAACTTGAGGTCCTTGTCACTTCTGGCTTAACACAATTCTGCCCATTTTGCTGCAAAAACAGATTTTTATTTCTGTATGGCTGAAAACTACTCCCTTGTATATATGTAGCAATTTCCTTCATCCATCCATCTGCTGATGGCCGCTGAGGTGGATCCCATAATCACACTATGGTGACCAGTGTCACCATAAACCTGGCCACGGAGGCACCTCTTTGGTGTGCTCATCTTACTGACTTTGAATACATCAAGAAGTGGAAAGCTGGATCGTAGAACACACCAAGTGTTAGTTTTCTAAAGAATCTCCGTACTGTTCCCCATAATAGCTGTCCTGATTTACATTCCCACCAACCACGTACTCAAATTCCTTTTCCTCCTCGTTTTTGTCCACACCGGTGCCCAGTGGTCCATTTAGAGAACAGCCATGTTACCTGGGGTGAGATGGTGTCTCATTGTGGTTTCAATTTGCATTTCCTTGATGTCTAATGATGCTGAGCACTTTTTATATGTATCTGGGTGTCTTAGTCACTATTCTCATCGCTGGGACAAAATACTCAACATCTACAAGTTAGAGGAAAAATTTATTTTACCTCAGTTCATAGAGGTGTCAGCTGGTTGCAGGGCAGGGCAGCATGGTAAAGGGCCATGGCAGGAGGAGGGAGCACAAAATACATTGACCAGCGACAGGATCATGGCGAAGTATCTAGCTACTGAATTCAGTTTGCTAGATTGTTTGGTATTGTGCTGTTTGGCTGGCGGGAGGGAGTGGGGGATGGCAGGGTATGAGACATTGAACCCAGAGCCTCATGCATGGTAGACTAACGGGATTTGCTAAATTTCAGTGATAATTTTTCATCTATTTTCATAGGGATACTGCTTTATATCTCTCTTATTGTGCTCTTTGATAATATGATAATGCTGGCCTCGCAGAATGAGTTTGGAAGCCTTTTCTCCTCTTCTATCCTATGGAACAGTTTGAGAAGTATTGCTCTTTTTTAAAAGTTTGATAAAACTGAGCAATGGAGGCACCCAGGCCTAGGCTTCTCTGTTACATTTTATTAGTTGATCTCATTACTTGTTCTCATATCATTCATATTTTTATGCCCAACAATCCAAGCTCATACATGTATAGAAATTTGTCTATTTCATCTAGGTTTTCTAACTCTTTAGTGATCCTTTATAGTTTCTGTGGTGTCAGTTCCATCTTCCTTTATCTCTAATTTTATATATTTGGTCTCAATTTTCTTGGTTAGTCAAATTGAAGGTTTGTCTTTTCATAGAGCCAACTGTTTGTTGATCATTTTTTTTTTTCTTCCTGTTTCTCCTGATCATTAGCACTTTGGAGTTTGGCTTGCTCTTGTGTCCCCAAGTTGTTAGACACATTGTTTGGTTGTTTCTTTGAATTTTTCTATTTCTCTGATGTAGTCACTCACTGCTATCAGTTTCCTTCTCTATATCATTTTTTCTCTATCCCACAAATTTTACTATGATATGGCTTAACTGGAGACGATAAAGAGAAAAATTATATCTTCACACTTTTCTTGTAGATATTTTAAAAAGTGGTTTCCTTCAAAATATTTATCCCCAAATTTAATTCCTTTTTATGTTAAACAACAGAAAATCACTTACCAGTTTTCTGCACAGACTTCTCAGGACTTAACAAGGCAGAACTACCCTGCAAGATTTTTTCAGACATTTCGGAAGGTGTGGCATTTTTTAGCCTGGAACTATCTTGCCATCCTGGTGTTGGAAGTTTAGCCTAAAATATAATCCTTCTATTAATTATCAATGCTGCCAAAAAATTCCAAGATATTTGAATCTTTTCAAGAAATGTAAGTATCAAATTTACCGCATCAAGAAATAAACAGTGGATCACAGATCCCGGAATTGGAAGAATATTTAGTTCACATTTCAATTAAGAACACTAGATCGATCAGTGTTTCTTAAAGTGTGGGCCAAGTCCAGAGTATCAGCAACACACAGGAACCCAACAGAAATGCAAATTCCCAAATCCCACCTGTGACCTATGAGATCAGAAACCCTCGGGAGGGATCCTGCATGTTAACATGGCATCCTAGTGCTTCTGATGACCAGTGCAGTTTGAGAACCGCTGCTCTGAATCACAGGTCGGCAAGCTTAGCCCGGTATCTGTTCTCACAATAAAGTTTTATTGGAACACAGTACAGCTCTCACTTCCATGTCATCTATGGCCCCTTTCCAGCTGCAAAGCCAGAGGTGATATGACGCACAGAGACGGTGAAGCTCACTACTTACTCTCTGATTTTTACAGAATAGTGTGGTCATTTGGTCAGAAACATCCTCACTACAAATCAGCACAGACTTCTTGCCTGCTGTGTAGCCTGTATTTATAGATCCAAATCTGTGATGTTTCTGTGGTGACTATTTAAAGTCAGACCTGTATTCACTACCATCTATTCTTTGGACTTTTTCTCACTGATAACTAATTTTTTCAACTTGAACTAATCAACAAAATGGTTAACACATTCACAACGGGGCTATAGCTTGCAGGTCTCACTGCTCAGCAGCTCTGAACCACCACTGGTGCATGCGTGACTGTCCCATTGGGTGCCACGGGTCAGTCCTATTGGGAGTCAGTACAAGCCACCTGATGGGATGGTTCTGCGTGTACCTCCTGTGGTTCAAGCTGGCAAGAACATGTTAAATAGTCATCAGTCCTCCTTATCCACAGGTTCAATGTCTACCAATTCAACCAACAGCGGCTAAAAAATTCAGAAAAACATTGTAACTATACTAAATAAAGAATGTGTTTGGTCATGACCTCTCAAACATCATGGTATAACCACTGGTATAACACACTGTATTAAGTATTTATAAGTAATCTATAAGATTTACATGAGGATGTGTATTACAGGTTATAGTCAAATGCTGGGTCATTTTATGAGGAACTTGAGGATCCACAGATCTGTATCCAAAGGGAGTCCTGGAACCAATCACTCACAGATACTGAGGAACAACTGCACTGACTCTGACTTTTAGGTTTAAACTATCTGTCCTTGCAGAACATGAAAGTGCTAGAGTCTCACAGAGGGCAGTATGCCACTGGCTGCAGCTGGAGCCCCTGTCCCATAACGTACTTCTGCCCAGGCAAACAGAACGTCACTAATACCCTTAGATCCACCCTCGATTCTCCTTGCAAAACCCACAGATAGTTGGCAACATACTCTGCAGTCTACAGATCCCATTTGACAAGAAACAGGAAACAAATTCTAGAAGTAATTCAGCTAGCAAGAGTCTAAATCTGGCTTTGGATTGGTCCAAAGGATATTGATGTCGTTTTATGTGTGTGTGTGTGGGGGGCACACTAGGGCTTTCACACTGAGCTACATCCTTAGTGGTTTTTTTTTTAAATTATTTTGAAACAGGCTCTTGTTAAGTCACCAAGTTGCCCAGGCTGGGCTCAAACTTAACAATCCTCCTGCCTCAGCTTCCTCGGTGCTGGGATCACAGGTGTATGCCACTACACCCAGAGCATATTCAGAAATCCTCAGTACAAAACAAGGTGAAGTGGGGAGAAATTACAAAATTTTATCTAATGTTTATAGAGGTCAGAAGACATTTTAACCACTTTCAAAACGAAGATTTAAATGCTAAGAACATCACAAGATTTGAAAGCAACACGTCAACAAATTGAAAACTAAAGAATCAAACCAGTAAGTTTACCTTAAAATATAAATTCAAAATAGCATATCTCTATCTGAAATCAGAATAACTAACATTTTATTATCATTCACAGCAAATATCCCTCCACAGAATTTGTGAACACTGATCAAAGATCCCAAATCTTTACCTAAGATTTGTGTTAAATGTTTGGCAGTCCTGTAGTTTCTCCCGGCAGTGATGAGCACAGGAACACGCGATTATGCAGGAGATGTTTTTTGAGAAAGAAATGCAGTTTAACCCACAGAGACCCACAGCAGCCCAATACAGTTTACTTACTTGGCCTTTCTCATGTTCACTGCCCCTAATAGGAGGGAACAGCGGCAAGACTGGAAAATGAAAGGAAATACATAATGCACATACTTAATTATGGGACACACAGAAATTCACTTCTGGACATGATCAAAGCAGGATATGTGAATGTTTCAGACATGTTACACTGAACTCCATTTATCTATGCAGTTAATATACACTAATAGCTGCATAAAATCCCATTCTTCCCTCTCCTAGTTGCATACACCAACACTAAAAATGATGCCCACTCTGGGTCTTGTTCAAACAAATGTCCACCTTTAGGATCCCTTTCCGATTATCAATGCTGCCCCCATCATCAGCATGAATTCAGTTCCAAATCTTGTCCTTGAAGTTCACCTCCACAACCCTGTATTATATTAGTAGTTAACCTAAGAGTGTTTCCCCTTCTGAGCTCTTCAAATCCTATTCTTTTCCTCAGGACTAACTCCAATCCCATCCACCTCTTCCTTGAAGATGACTCCACCTCGTGCCAGATTCTCCTTATCTGAACTCCTCCCCCATTTACTATAACTCACATTTAACAATTATCAGCTAATCCCATAATGCTGTTTCAGGTGCATGCATCTTACCTTTCCAATGTAATTATAACAGGAAAGGAGGGCACGAGATAATGTATTTCTTGGGCACCCTCTCCCATGCTGAAACATGAAGCTGTGCCGTGAGAAGTGACCCACAAGATAACAAGCGCCACACTCACTTCTCGTACTGCTTCTCACTCTTGGCTTTCTTCTGCTGGCATACGGTCTGAGGGATTTCTTTTTTTGGTTAGCAAACCAGGATAGTTCACTGGCACTGGAACTTGAATCACGCTCCCTCTCGGAAAAGAGATGCCTCCTGTAACTAAATTTCTACAGAGTTGATAGGAACTTTTAAAGGGCTCCTGCTAATGCATATGCATTATACACACCACTACACATGCCCTGTATTAAACACAGGACTGTTAGACCCAGGAGAAGAAACTGCTGGGAGACTGGGCTCTCTCCCATCACAAAACCGCACAGAAGAAAGAAAGAGGACAAAGATACTCCTTCAATCAATTCCCAGCCAACCTGTTGTCAAGGGTGACAAAACTTTTCGTGGTCCTGTTTGCAGCTGAACAATGACTACACTGCTGAAGTACCCGACCATCGTGCCAACGGTGCACGTGCAAAGCACACACTCAAGTGGCAAAGTATAAAAAATAATTTTTTTCTACAAAGAGACATTCAGAGGAACTAAAAGCCAACAGAGTGATTTCTGTCTCAAGCATAAAGCATTTTGAAGTCAAGCCTAGCCTTTAAGAGGTGAGAAGTTTATTATGAGTAATCTAGTCTGGTGAGGAACTCAACTATATTTTGACTTTTTACATTTTAACCTTTTTCAGTTTTAATAAGGATGTGATGAAAAAAACATTACAGCACAACAGAGGGGGGTTTTTCCCTTTAACAGAAAAGTGCGCCCTGCGTTCTCCTGTGGGGTTTCCAGGGACTGGGTCCCCACATGCCGGCCCTTCCAGGGGCCCCGCCATGCAGCTGTAACAAGTGTCACTAGAGCCCGGGGTGGGGGGGGGGAGTGGATTCTGATGCACCCAAATATTATAAGTAATAAAAGCACTACAGAGCCCTCTCAAGTGGAAAACACCTTATGGCAAAATGCCAAGTTGGCCCCTGCGGTCACTGGGGTAACCCCGGGCCAAGCTCCTCTTGCTGATATCACTGCAGAACCAGCGAAGGTGGGCAGGGATTTGTCATCTTTTAGGGGACGCTATTAAGTCCTCTTTTAGAATGCTTAGCTGCTGTTTAGCATTTTGTAACCATTTCTAAATGACAAAGTTTTACATATTTATGGCATATGGGATGCACGATGTGTTTATACACACACACACACACATATTCTGGAACAGTTAAATCAATCTAACAGACATATACCTCACCTACTTGTGAAAAAAACCTAAAACCTACCCTCAAGTATTTACTTATATTAAGGACACTCCTTCAAAGTTTCTTTGAGTTCAGCTTTTTAAAATTCCCAATAGGGAGACCATGCAGGACGTGTCTGTGCCCGGCTTAGTTCACTTAACATCTTGACCCATGCACTTGGAAAGACAGAACTTCCTGGTTTTGTGAGGCTAACTGCTATTCAGTCGTACCAGAGTCTCATTAACATTCATCCATTCATACTGATTAGAGGTGACTAACTCTGTGAGCCATATTGATTTGCATCATACTCCTAAGGTAAGAAAAAACCCTGAGATGGTTGAGGAGCCCCCACAATTGTTCCAGAGTTCTTCTTTATAGGACACAGTGCCCTACAAAAAGCAAACATCACCTCATTTAAGGCATCCAATTTAAACACTACATAGCAAGGTCTTCCTGGTTTCTTTGGCTTTATATCAAAAGGTATTCAAGTTTATTCATAAAAATAGAGTACCCAGAGCAATGGTCCTTATAAATGGCTACACAATGGAATCACCAGAAAGGGGCTTTATCTTAACAATTCCAAGGCGTGGGAATAAAGTCAGAATCTCAGAACGGTCCAAAATTTCAACATTTTCTGAAGACCAGTTTGAGCCCCAAGCAGCACAGCAGCAGAACTATTGCTAGAAGAAAGCTAGAACAGGGCTTATTCCATCTCTGTGAAGCTCACTACCTCACTTTTAGACAAACCCATCATAGAATTATCAGAGATTTTTTTAAGTGCACTGACTACACACATAGGGCACTATGCTTTCCAAAGGCCATCAGCAATGACACAGTGGACAAGTGTCATTCAGTTCACAGACACAAAACCACACCATTACACCGACAAAACATCCTTTACAGTTACTTAATACATCTGATCTAGTCGGGGTCTCAGGTGCTGGTATTTTTCTTACAACAAAGCAAAAACAGGCTTAGGTTCAAAACCTGACTTAATCAACAAGGAGTTTTAAGAAGGGGGGACCCAGGTCTGCCTTTCTGATGGATCCCTTTGTGTGGCTAAGTACCGGTTACCATGGCAACAAGCCTCCTTACCACTCAGGGAACACCAACCAGGAGAGGACCCAACATCTCAACATCTCCGTCTAGGGGTCCTGGGTAATACAACATTATGCAACAGAACAACCATTGTTAAATTCTATCATCTTGGTTTGAAATCCCGTATCGCTATTGTTTTTGTTGCTATTGTTTTGCTTTTGTTTGCTTGTTGATTTTTCTATTTCTCTATAAAATAAAATTAAATTAAAAAGTGAGTGAGAGCTTGCTACAGTGGAAAAGGACTGACCAAAGGATCAGTCAGTTTTCAAATTTCCTGTCACCTATTTGCCCACAGATAGGATTTACCATGAAATGTTTCTCCTTGGCTGAGCCATCATCTGTCCAACCACTAGATGAGCCTGTCTGTAACCTCTTCAGAGTTAACAGTTAATAAAGCCTGCTGTACAAATCGGATTTAAAAACAGAAAATACATCATATAAAAGCATAGCTTGGCAGGTTAACACTGTTATTTTCAGCTCTTATTCATTTGGCGGATTTGCTTACTATTAGAAATAATGCTGATTTCCCACTTGAAAGTTATTTCTCTTAAAATAAGAACAATTTAGAAAAACAGTACAGCTATGGCATATTTTAGAGACGGCATGCAGATAACTGAAATTTGGGAAGCATCGCCTTAAAATAAAAATTACTACCGATGTCTTTTTCTTTGTGTCTGACATCTCTATTTCTTGCTGTCATCCTCTAAAGCAGACTCCTCCCTAAAATAAAATGTGTCACCTGAAGGGATCCAGTACAGCCCCACCTTCCTCTTGCCTCCGTGCATGGCTCTAACCGCCCCCAACACCCTTTGCCTGACCAGGAACCAAGCTTGCAGAACGCCCCATTCTGTAGCCTTCCTGTCTTGCAATCTATCTCCTTAGCTTCTTAGGCAGATCATGACTGCTTATTTAAGAACAAATAAAATTTGGTTGGACACTTACTTTGTAAGACATACAAAGAAGAGGGAAGCAGGGTGGGGCCCCCAAGTGTCAGGCCACTGGCAGCGAGGCTGCAGGGTGGGGTCCTCAAGCCTGGTCCCACTCAGGAACCCGCTGGGTGCTTCCACTGGTGATCAGTGAGGCTGAACAGCTTTTGTGCACCTGCTGGCCTTTCATGTGTTCTTCAAAACTAAGCCAACTCGGGTCCTTTTCCTAGTTTTTAATTGAGTCATTTGTTTTTCTGCCATTGAATTGTTACTTATATATTTTTAATATTAACTTCATACATATATATACACACACATATGGTTTGCTAAATTTTTTTAAAAGATGAGTATTGGGAGGATATGGAACTCCCTGTTATCCTGCCAGTGGAATAAATGGAGCCAGTGTTATGGAAAAGATTCAGATGCCTCAAAAAATTACAGAACTATCCTAGGATCTGGAGTCACACTTCAGGGCACGCATCCAAAGGAACACAGACTAAGATACCCATATACAGGTGAGTATCCCTAAGCTGGAAACCCCAAATGCTCCCAAATCCAAAATATCTTGAGTACCCACGTCACCCACTCCTGACCTCATGTGGTGGGATGGTTAAAACGCAAGCACTAAACACTGGTAAAAGAAAATTACCCGTAGGCTGTGTGTGCAAGGGACGTATAAAGCAAAAAATGAGTTTAGGGTTAGCCTTAACCCCATCCCTGAGATATCTCATCATGTAATATCCAGCTGTTCCAAGATCTGAAAAAAATCCAAATTCCAAGGCATTCTGCTGTCAGGCATTCTAGACAAGAGATACTCAATCTGTACACGGTAAGAGCCGTTTCTGGTTTGGAGCCATCACAGGCAAAGCTGTTGCCGACGTTCATTGGTTCTCCTTTGGGGGGACACAGTGCTGACCACTCTCTAAGGGAATTGCCTAGCCTGGGAATAGGTAGGTCATGGAGGGGGGTATGTACTTCATATTTTAAGAAACTACAGCAGGGTATGTTTCACTGGCTCCACCTTCTTCCAAGCACATGGTACAGTTGAATGCTGCTACTGTAACAGGTGTGTGGTGCCTTTGCTTAGTTTTCATTTATATTTCCCTAGTAACTACTGACGTCATCGGTTAGCCATATTTTTCTTGGTGAAGTAGCTGCTCCAACCTTTTGCCCACATTTTTATTGGGTCGTACATTTACCATTGAATTCTGAGAGTTCTCCTTACATTTCACATACAAGTTCTTTACAGATATTTCAACAAGGCTGGGGCTAGTTCTTTCACCTGACAAGCATTTACAAAGAATATAAATTCTTTTACTTTGATGAATTAAATAAAATCCAATCTATTAATTTGATCTTTTGTGGCCTCTAGTGTCTTGTATTGAAGAAATATTTGCCTAATGCAAAGGTTTTTTATGTATTTTTCAAATAGATTTTACTTATACATCTATGATTCATTTCAGTTTTCTATGTGGTGAAAAGTATACAGTCATTTTTTTCTTCTATCAAGATAATCCATTGTTCTAGTGATGTTTATTGAAAACCAGTTGCTTCTCCACTGAATTATCTTTGTACTCTTGTCTAACATATACAGGGCTTTTTCTGGATCTTAGTATGTTTATCTTTCTGCCAACATCACTTTATTGTCTTTTTCATTTTTATCAGTACTGGGGATCAAACTCACGACCGCCTGCTTGCAAGGCAGGTGCTTATGCTGCTGAGCTAAATCCCCAGTCCCAACATCACACTCTTGATTAATGATTTCAAGTAAATCTTGAAAGCAGGTAGTATGTAAGCCCTTCTGCTTTTTTTTATATCTTTCTTAATTTCTCTCGGTAATGTCCCATAGTTTTCAGTGTCTATGATTTGAGAATGCTTAGAAATGTCAAATGTCTAAGTGAATCATATTTTAACTCTACTGTGACATTGGTTTTTATTTCACTTTTTTTTTTTTTTTTTTTTTTTTTTTTTTTGTCTTTTTGAGACGGAGTCTCACTACACAGCTCAGGCTGGCCTTGAGCCCACTATGTGACCTAGACTGGCCTCAAACCTGCCATGATCCTCTTGCCTCAGCCTCCCCTGTGCTGGGTTTACAGGCATATGCCACCAAGCCTGGCTTCAATTTCTGATTAGTGCATAGAAAATTGATTTTGTGTATTTATCTTGTGTCCTTCAATCTCAAATTCAGTGTTTTGCTGCAGGAAAATACATTACTAAAGTCTAAATGTAGAGCCCATAGGTCAGGAGAATACACCCACATCCCTCTGCAGGAACTCCATGCAGTGCTCTCCTTTGGTGGAAGCAAGGCCAGGGGCAGGAAAGGGAAAATCTAGAGCACAGATTTGTAGTGCTCACATTAGCAACGATCTGTGTGACCTGTGTGGTTATTAGTTTCATAATAGCCAAGGCATGGAAACAGCCTAAGTGCCCATCAAGACATGAACAAAGACAATGCTGTAACAGATACACAGTAGGATACTAACTGGCCACAAGAAAAATGAAATCCTGTCACCTTCAGTAACACTAACTGGAAGACATTCTGCTAAGTGAAATAAAGCAGGTCTAGAAAGAGATACTGTGCAATCCGGCTTATATGTGGAAACTTCAAAAGTGTGACCCAGAGCGGGAAAATAGAATCACAGCGACCAGAGTCCAGTGGGGAGCGGAGTGACGGATGGAGAGTTTGCTGGGTGGTACCCATTCACGGCTAAACATGAGGAAGGGAGCGTACAGCTGCCAACACTGTCTATACTTCAAAACCAGGAGAGAGGATTCTGACTGCTCTTGCCCCACAGAACTGAAGATATGCTAAATTCCACGAAGAGATCACGTCACAATGGGTACATCACACTACACTCCATAAATACAGACAATTTTGATGTGTTGATTAAAGACTAAATAAAACTTTTTAAAAAGCATTTACCTAGATTTGTCATCTAATTTAGGAGTCTGAATTTCAACTGGCTGTTCTTGTACATCTGAAGAATATTCATGTTTTGAAGTAACTTCTAATGGCCAAATTTAAAAACAGAAAGCAGTTAGCATCTTGAGTAAATATGTTAACATGCTATTCGGGTCTTATTTACAACAGAAAAAAACATCAGACCTTGTTGTGTATCATCATCTTTCAATTTTTCAGATGAACGCTCAGCTGTATTTCTTTGCTGCAAGAAAAAAACATTGTAGTATCTACATAGAAACACAGCTGTATCTATATACATATACACACGTATATGTGTCAATTAGTTTTTACACAATTTTAAAAATTTTTAACTGACACATAAAAATTGTGCATATTGATGTTGTCCCATGTATACATGATGAAATATTTAAGTCTGGTGAAACATACCTCTTCCCACACTTATCATTTCTTTAGGGTGAAAACATTCAAAAATCTTCTAGCTGAGATGTACAGAGTTCTCTGTAGTCATCCTACTGTGAACATCTCACCAGAATTCTCGCTCTTCCTAGTTCTCGGTCCCCTTTTCAAAACCCCCTGAAGACCCTACTGTTACCTGGCTGTTACCTCCACGTTACGACGTGAACCCTCAGAGGAAGGATATTAATGCATCTAAGTTCCCACAGGGAATAAACGCACGCATGTCTGATGCCAGACCTCGGGCTCCTTGCTGGTGTCAGTCTCCAGACCCCGAATGAGGGAATGAAAAGGCAGAAGCCAAGCAAATCAGGCACTCCACGGGAGGCCAATAAAGGGGAGACCACGTACACTCAGCAGAGCAAAGTCTTCTAAAGGGGAGATGGTTAAAAATATCGACAGACTCTAGGCCAGGAGCAGAGGCTGCAAGTCATGATGGGAGGTGCCCGCTCGACAGTTCCAACCTCCTGCCCAGCTCGCTGTACTCACAGGAGGTCCGGGCTGAGGGCCCGAGAGGACAGTGATCACACAGCGGTCCACTTCAGCACTGACAGACTCCGCCAGTTCAGTGGATTCTTCTGCCTGTTCTATAGGCACAAAGAAAGGAGTATTTATGATAACACTAGCCACACACCACACTGACATGTGCTCTGTTACCCAGCACTGGCCATGTGTCTCAGGTACCTTGCCCTCCTTTGGTAAAAGCTGGCAGTCCTGCCTCAAATCTCAAATAAGACACCCAGGGGCACTGGACAGAGATAGGCTCTGTAAGCAGACAGGACCTCCTGCCACCGTCAGCACTGGTCATCCTTTGTCATTTCCAAATGACCCCAAAGTGAGACTTTTATCAGGTGGGGAAAACGACTCAAAGCTATCAACAGCTATTCCTTCATACACTTGCTGTTTTCCTGGAGTTGGGACTGAGCCCAGAGCCTCTCGAAAGCCAGGCAAGGACCCCATCACTGAGCGGCACCCCAGGCCAACTTATTCCTCTCAGAACCACAGGTTTCCAGGGACCCCTGAAACCAGCAAGGTTTTAACAGCGCTTTTGCATAAAATGCAGAATCAAGGGTTTTGTTAACTCCCAACATACCTGTTTGTCTTTCGAGGTTACTAGGAATCTCACTGTCTTTCTCAAATTTGCTAAAGGACTCCAAGGAGATTTTCATCTGACCAGGCAACACCTGAACACAAGCCAAAAGCCATGTGGCTTTAAGAGGAGTAGCCAGCCATCCGACTGCCCTCCTCTGAAGGATTATGTTACTGTTTCTGGCTTCCGTACCTACCCTCCCCGCAGCACCAACCCTGGCTGACCAGTACCCTGCCCCCAAGCCCTCTCTCTTGGCATCTTCACAACTGCTATGGTTTGAGCGTGCCTTCAAACCCATGTGTTAGAAATGTGATCCCCAATGCGAAGTGTGACAGGTGGGACCTGTTGGGGGCAGGATGTGATCACGAGAGCTCTGCCCTAGAGGATTCGTCTATACATGGATTAATGGGTTGTTGCAGGAATGGCTTCTTTGATTCTCCTTTAATTTCTCTTTCTCACCCATGACATGGTCTTTTCATAGAGGGAGTCTTTGGGAACTATTTTCAGAGTACTTCATCTAAACGGCCTTCATGTACACCAGCTAAAACAGATGCTAGCTCGAGACTCCCCCCACCATGGGTCTTTGACCTTTTTATCCAATTCCTAATCAGCCATTCCATGGTATTTTGTTTCATGCATCTTTGCCTTACTTACTATGAGAAGAGGAAGGCTCTTATTCTTATACATAAACAGGAAGTATTAAAATTAGATGGGAACACTAGCAATCTGTAATGGGTAGACCACGTCTACAAGCTAAAACCAATAGAGAGAATTCAGGGAAACCCAGGGAAATCCTAATTCCTCATAATTCCCCCAGGGCCCGGAGGAGCTGAGGAGGTACGAATCACCAACAAACCCAGCGAACACCCTCAGGACCCTGGGAAGAATGTGGCAAGGAGGCGATGATATCCTAGCAAAAGCTCCCAACCATTCACAGTAAGTGGAACAAAGCTTCTGGGAGCTCAGTGAGATCTTGTGTCCCCAGAAAAAGACAGCTAGGATTGGAGCCCAGAACTCTCGACTCTGTTGACTGGGGATTATAAAGAACAGGTCTTTTCCTTGACCAAATGCTCACACCAAAAGCCACAAGGAAATTTAAGAGGCATGAAACACACCTCAATGTCTTCAAATAATCAATAAGAACCAAGCTGCCACCTGCTTTTCCTCCCCTAAAGCTCGAGCAGCAGCTTGGGATACGTGGTCTTGCAAGTTGAAATGGATCGCTACGTCCATCACTTCTTTCTTACTGATGACCACAGGTGCCTTCAGGTAAATGATGAGTATCTTCACCTTCTCATTTTCTAAGAGAAATACAGTATATAGTGCATATCAACATACTGAGACGTTTAACTTAAATTTTTGTACTTTTAAATAACTGTTCCTAGAAATCTGTCAACTTGAAAAGAAATTGCAATAAATCAAAATACTCTGAAATTACTATATTATATGGACATATGTATATATATATATATATATATATATATATATATATTATACACACAATATAGGATTAGATGGTTGAACTTTCCACAGTAAGTAGCTGCTTCCTTCACCAGTGAAGAATTGGAGATATCTTTGTCTTTAGCAATTCAATGTTTAACAGCATTTTGTTTATACAACAGGTATTTTCCTCCCATACACATTGTGCACAACATCGATTGTTCTCTTGGAAATTCACTTATTTCTAAAGCTCAACATGCTAAATGGAATATCCAACTCTTTCTCAATAGACTCCTCCAAGAAGTAGAGATACCGTCATGAGACATCTATCTTAGACCAAAGCATGCTTCAGAGCCACCTCCCAGGATGTAAATGACAAATGGTAATTGATTTTAAAAGAAAAAATAGCTTAGACTAAAATTTATAAGGTTCAAGATAAGATACAAAGTCAGTTGGGGGGTCAGGGACATAGCTCAGAGGCACAGCACCTGCTTGGCAAGTGCAAGGTCCCGAGTTCGATTCCTGTTACAAAACAATTACAAGGTCAGCTGTAAGGGAGAAGGGAGGGGATAAGGGTGCTGAGGGGTAGGACTTCAAAAGAAGGGACAAGGACCCAGGCAAAATCACTGACCATCACTGTAGCTCTGGGAGAGGGTGGTCACGCACCAAAAAAAAAATCCTATGTAAAATAAAATTTACCTTTTAATTACTTATCGTTTTTAAATTTGATTTTAACTGATCTATGAAAGTAGTAAACGTAGTGTTAAGTATGTTCATGTCATTGTACGACAGACCCCCAGAAGTTTTTCAGCTTCCAAAAGCAAAACTGTGCCCACTGAACAATTCCCCTGTCTCCTTCCCACAGCCCCCGACAACCACCATGCATTCCACTGTCCATCTCTGGCTGTGGACAACCGTGGACACCATGTGGAATCATAGTGTGTGTGTCTTTTGGGGCACAGTGTTCTCAGGGTTCATCCAATCTGTAGTATATGTCAGACTTTCCTTTCTTTTTCAATATGAAAATATGAGAGAGAGAGAAAGAGACAGACAGACAGACCAACTGACTGCCAAAAATATTATGCGGACTTCAGGGGAGAAACAGGAAAGAAGCTTCACAGCCCCGTGCGCCAGTGGTGGCCCTGGTGGCCAGGGAAAACCAGAAAGGAGGCCACACCCCTCTCCTCCCGTGAGACAGCGGGTGCTCAGGCTGGAAGGGAAGAATCACACACACACACACACACACACACACACACACACACACACACCCCACCCACCCATAAGCAACTGGCTGATTCGGAGGAACACAGGCTGAGATAACAGCAGAGGGAAAGAAACAATCCAAGGCTTGTATTATCTGATTGACTTTGCAGGCCTAAAACCAGTACACTCTGAGCAACTATTGAAAGGATAATATGCAATATAATAATTATTGGGGATTTCCTACTGTTTTATCACTGTTTTCATTTTATTTTTCTATTTTATTCTTTTAAAATTATGCACACTTCAGGAAAAGAGAAATGGTACCCTGTTCTTTCAACAGATAGTGTTACACTCATATAGGGGACCCTGGAGGATGTCGTTTATCACAGAAAACCCACTGCCCTGCCAGCCCTTAGAGAAGAAACTGAAACTGTCTGGAACAGTCTTAATGACCTACGCAGCAGTTCTCTCTACCAATAAATATCTGGAAGCTAAAGGCCACCACTTTGAGCAATTCTTGGAATTACAGAAATCAAAGGAAACGTGTTAATCTCACAATGTCTCAATAAATTTAGTATTAAAATATTCATATGATTTTTTTCTTTTCTGGAAATGCATACACATTTTTGTTAAGTTCTACATTTCACATTTTATCTACCTAATTATTCCTCAGTGGACATCTGAGTTCTTCCCACCTTTTCTGAATAATGTTGCTGTGAACACAGTTTATAGAGATCTCTCTTGGAGCCTCTGGTCAGTTCTTTTGCATACACACTTAGAAGTGGGATTACTGGATCATATGGAAGTTTGCCTCTTTTTTTCTTAGAGGAGCTGGAGATTGAAGCCAGAGCCTCACTACTGAGAACACCCTCAGCCCTCTTAATTTTTTATTAGAAGCAGGGTCTCATCAAGTCCCCCAGACTGGGCTTGAATTTGAGATCCTAATGCCTCTGGTTGTCAGAATCCTAGGATTACAGCCAGGCACCAACACACCAGGTTGGCTTTTAATCCTTTGAAGACTTTAACCATGTTTACCATGAAGAAACTGGAGAAGTAATTAAACTCTGACATCACAAAGCAAAGGACCCACCAAGACTGTGACCCAAATCTTGGTCCTGTGCACAGTATATCTTCCTAATCTTCCTACCACGGTCCCAACCCAGCCTTGCTTCTAACAAAGCAAGATGAAATCTCCCCTACAATTAACTAATCACACAGAGAAAACACAAACAGCAACAATATTCAGGACTACATGCTGGGTACAGTAGTCCAAAAATGATCACCTTACCTGTAATGCTGAAGTTATGCATGGATTCCTTCGCCAGTCTTACTGGTTCCCACAGAGTGCTCTTGGGAGAGAAGCAAAATGTGTGAGCACATAATACATACTTACAGATACACATTATGCGAGTGCTTATGTCTAACCAGGAATTAAACTTCAGTCAGTACCTCAGCATTGTCTATGTAAAAAGTCACACTCTGACTTCCTAGGTTGAAATCGATCCAAAAGTGCTCTAAGTTTTCATTTGCTGGCTTTCTCATCTGGAAGAGAAGGTCAGTATGTATTATACACAGAAAAATCACATCAAAGGACAGATAAAAATTTTCATAAAGAACAGAACTTGTGTTTTTCCTTAAATAGCATTATTCTAACAACATAGGGCATCTCTATGACCTGACTTACCTGTGCAAGACAGGAGGAAAATCTTAACTTTACATGGCCAAGATATTTCCAGTAAAATCCTGCTAGGCATATTTTATAGATATTTAAATGAGTCAGACATTTGTTTTCTGGTAAGAATAAAAGAAAAGTTTTTGCTCTATGTTGAGAACTCCAGACTGCTTAAGGATGAAAGTTCTAGAAAAGGATATTTTGGGATTAAATGTAAAAGACAATTTGTCATCCAAGTTACCACCCATTACAATAGAGCCAAGACTTCCAGAGTTATAATTACTTTTATTTTTATTGTTATAAAGACACATTTTATAAAAGAAAAAGTCAAACAGTGTGATGTTTATAGAAATGTAAACATCTCCTCCTCTGCCTCACCTATGTTATAAATATGTTTCTTCCCACATCACCATTAACAGTGTCCTTTCCTCCACCCCTTGAAGTTTTCTAGATGAATATCAGAAGCATAGTTGAGGATCCTTTATCGAAAATGGTTGGTACCAGAAGTGTATCTGTATTGGGTTTTGGATTTTTTTTGATCTTGGAATACATACACACACACACACACACACACACACACACACACACACACATATATTCCTGAGCTATCTTGGAGATAAGACTTAAGTCTAGATACAAAATTCATTTGTTTCCTAGATACTTTTAGACATAATTTGAATGTGTTTCAGATTTTTGGACTAACAACACTCAATAAAATTTTTGTCCTACAACAATGGAGAAAGCATTAGATTTACTACTCTACAATCTGCTTTTCCAATAAACAGCCTTGCCTGGACAGCTTTTTCACCATTCATGCTTACTTTTTAATACCTACAGAGTTGAATGAAGGATCTTAACCATAAAGTGTGAGGGGTGGACACAAGGACCCTGATGAAACCTGCTGAGAATTGGGAAGTCCTAGAAAGAAGAACCAAGCAGAAAAACAGAGGAAAGTAAGGTGGAATTGAGACAGAAGGATTCGTCTACCAAAACCAGCTCTGGAGAGAAAGATCTGGTGTTGTAAAAGCTAACAAGGGGACTCCGAACTGCAAATGAAGAAATGGGTCAACAGTGGATGCCGTGAAGTCAGGTTCGGGAAAGCTCAGCCAAAGTCTGACACCTCCTTGGACTTTACCCTGAAACCAAGATGCTCTAGGTTGCAAATTTTTGGCATGAAGGGACTTCCTCATCTAGAAACCAAAGAAGAGAGTGAAAATAAGTTGTTTGACCTGGATTACAAGGCACAGGGTAAGATAAAGAGAGTATCTACTTGCACCCTAAGGCACCCTATGCTAAAGGTGCTTCATCTGTGGGGGCAGCCTGTACCGACACACACGCATTACACTATCCAAAGTGGGGAGAAAGGACAATGACCTCAAGTGTTGGGAAGAGAGAAATATCCAAAGCAGCATGAAATCACCCTTTTCCCTCAAAGGATGAGTAGCGTGACCCATGAATAAGGTAAAATGAGGCAGGAGTTCTATAACTGACCTCACGTATACAGTACAGACCCTCAAATTCCTCTTCCAAGAGTGAAGTTGAATCTTTACACTGGTAATGCATCCTAGTAATGGTATGATTGATTTGAGAGATGAGATCAGGAGAAGCCAGCATCCTTTCTTAAAGTCCCTTTTGTGTACAAAAACAGAAGCCTCACCTATATAAACTATATAAACCACAGTTTAAGCACATACCACCCCCAGACCCCCAAGAGAGACCAACATACCTCATGCCCAGCAGCAAAAGCAGCCACACATGGAAATGAATAGACCCTGCAAAACACATCACAATCACAAGTTAAAAAAAACATAATAAGAATTGAACCCAAATGTAAATCTACAGATGTTTTAAAACGAACACCGATAACCAGGGTGCACCATCAGGTCTCATATGGAGTACAGTAGGGGATTTCAAGCTTGAAATGGAAATGGTCACTGAGCCAATTTCAAAACTCCAACTGGCCACTATAAGCCAGGCTTACTGATGTTATATCTCAACCAAATTACAAGGTTCCTAAGGAAAGGAGTAAACTCAGCAAACACTGGCTCAGCAAGAATTTAATTCTCCATAAATCCATAGTGTGCATAGCCTCAGTGACCTTGTCTGTATGAAATTGCTCTTCATAAAGTCTACAGATTCTCCAAAGGATGCTGTATGATCAATAGCCCAAATCTCAAATAAATATGCTAATGACAGCTAGAGATCATTTGTGAACACACGCCAATGAGCAACCAGGCAGAGAGGGTCTGATCTTGCCAACTTTCCAGTCAGGGAACCACTTAGTCATGCTCAGTAAAAGACAGATCCTACATTCTTTCCTAAAATGAAGCAGATACTAAACATTCTTTTAAAATACTCAACATTTCTATAATATCCCTAGTCCATAAAATAATGGCCAGAGAGACATCCTACCTTCTTTGGTCACCAAGTCTGTCATTTAGGTGATTGAGAAACCTTCGACTGTCCTTTAAAAAAAAAAAAAAGGCAAAATTTTTATTTAAAAAAAAAAAGGAATCAAGGTGTCCTATGTAATACTACTTTAAAAAGCACATAGAGGCCAATGTTGACTTCTGTGTGCCCAGGATCCAGTAACATTATGGCACTTCATAAAGACTCATCATTTAATTTTAACAGCATCTTGTGCTACAAAGAAAAGGCTCTGGGCACATGTTTCTGGAAGAAACTATCTCCACCCCCAGCATTTGATTTTCATCTGAAGAATACTCATGTGCACAAAAGTTATATGCAGCCAGGCACGATGGCGCACAACTGTAATCACAGCACTTGGGAAGCTGAGGCAGGTGGATGGTTGTGAGTTCCAGGCCAGCCTGGGCTACAAAGTGAGTTCAAGATCAGCTTGAGCTGCATAGTGAGACCCTGTCTCAAAAAGACCACAAAGAAAGTTCCATGTATGAGTGTTTCAATGCGTTAGAAAAATAAGCCAGAAACACACACTTGATGACCTAGACTACACTACTGAACCAACCCAACAGGCCTCCATCACGCCTGCGCGGCACAAGCCAGCTACAGATCCGTAACATGCACCAACTGTGGCTTGACCTTGGTGGCGCTCCCACTGCCACGTTTCCTTCTCAGGAGTTCTCCATGCCACTCCTTCCTGGGTTCCCTCCCTTGGCACATGCACTAAGAACAAAATCCTCCGTTAGAGTTCTCCTAACCAACAGCCTTCAGGATGGTGAACTGGTTGCCAACAGCATTCTCGAAGCAGAGACACAGGTACACACATTTGTTCCTTTTTGCTTGTTTGCAAGGCTTGGCTGCTGCAGCCAAATGCTCCTCGCACTTTGTGCCCAAATTCTGCACTCAGCAGACAGCAGCAGTGTACGCTTTCTATCTAAAATCCATTCAGTCAACAAGTTGACAGCTCTGGGGGGAAATGATTTTGGAGACAAAATTTTTCACCAAAATTCCTTGTAGATGTGGGGAGAATGACTCAGAGGACAGTGGAAAGTAATATCTGAGTGCTCAAACATGCCAGGCTCTTTCAGTTTCTCTCACTGAACTGTCATAATTTGATTCCCATTTTTTAGAGAGGGGGACACTCAGGCCTCAAAAATCAACTGCTCTGCCCAAATGCGTGGAAGTCAGGGAGGTGGGACTCAACCCCACATCTGAGAGGGCCCTGAGGCTCACGCTCTTTCCATGAAGCGGACGTCGCTAAATGCTACACATGTGGCATTATCTCTGGCTGGGAGACACATAAGGGTTCAAAATTTAACAGCACTGGCACAGTTTTTATGTAAAGTCTTTGTCAACATAAGCATTATGATGAATGTTACCTTTTCCTCACTCTCATTTCAAGGACTCTTTAAAAGAAAATAATTTAGCTATTTGAGGATGGATACAGAGACACAAAGCCATGGCTATTTTTTCACGACCTCAGGACACAATGGTAGGAAGCGCACCGGCACCGGAGATAATGGAAGAATCACTCCTCTAAATTGCAGAGGATACTCTGCAGCCTCCAGAGCACACCATGAAGCTCTGAGGGCCTGCTGCTGCCACAGCTGCTCTCTGCAAGGTTCTAAAGCCCTTCTCCAGTTCTCTCTCCCTGCTCCAACATCCATCAACAATTGTTTCCCCCGCCCCATTTTTTGGAAGGATCCATCAAAGTCATAAATTTGGTCTCCAGTCTCAGTTATCTCTAAGAAATCCTGTCTGTCTATACTCTCCTCCCCAGTCTCCAAGTACTCCTCTCATGTTGCCTTAAAACTGTTTCCCTAATAGGAGAATCAGAAAGTCAGCTTAATCACATGTAAGGAGGTAAAAATATCCTCCCTGAAGCGCGACACACAGGAAAATACTGAGAAGCTGCTCCACACATACTGACTGAGCAGGACTCTCACCGTCTCAAATTCTCGATCCCTAATTTGTTTGAAGCCTTGGGCAAGGACATCGTCATCAAACCACTGGTGGACGAGGGTGCCCCGTGATGCTCTAGTTGTCATTCTACACAACGCCTCCGAAAGAGCAATCTGCTGGTCATAATCTAGACATTAAAAATACAGGTAATTCCAGGCACATGCAACACAAAGCGTGAGTTACAGACTAGCACTTGCTCTAAGAAATAGATCGGCTTTGTATCTTTATAAGTGGCAAGAGGTAATCTGAAGCAGCTACAATCATTTAAAATATTTTTAAGTATCGATAGAAGAAAAAAATTTAATTAAGAAGTCAACATATAACAATTTTTCAAAATACGTATTTCTGGGTTTCATATTTTACGTTTATTAAATAGTCATCAAATCAGACGTAAAGGCCTTAAAAATATTTCAACCACAAAAGTAAAATCCCAACATACTTTGTGCTGCTTCACAGCAGATAAACTAAACCTGCATGCATCAGTATGTTCAAATCTCAATTGATTTTAGGGGTTAAAAAGGGAGTTGTAAGTGGATAGACCCAACTTGATGACATTTATGAAGTGTGATCGAAAAATATGGTATTTAAACTCAAAAATTACAGTAAAAGACCCACATTGCCATCAGTCCTTTTCATAAAACTCCCTCTCATTTGAACTCACTTCCGGAAGCAGCTCTGCACTGTCATGGCTGCCTTGATTTCCAAATGGATTCAAAACACTTATTCATGATCATTTTGACCGTGAGGGACAACCACAAGTACTTCAGCCATATTTGGTAAATAAAGTAGATGAGAATACCCATTGTGTTTTTGACAGAAACTGCTGTAAATGTTTTGAACTCATTCAGGATTATCCAGCCACCAGCAACAGCACAACTAATTAGAGACCCTCACAAAAGAGGACTTTCACGCAGCTTGAGACCATGCTCATAAGTGAAATAAATCAAACTCAAATGTGTGAATACCGAATAGTTTTCCTAGTGTAAGAAATGATTCAAATATATAAAAGGATGTGGTAATCATGATTCCCCATTATGTGGCCTTGAAGCCTTATAAAGTTTTCACTCATTAATTGGAATGGCTTTATTCTGGCTGTTTGATATTATTGCCTGTGATGAAATGAACAGCTATTTTGAAGAAAATAAGATCATAATAGCTAGTGCTGATTTAATATCTTGTTTTGAAGTCCCACCAAACTGTTGCTCTTCTGTCTCCACTGGTTTTATCATGTTGTATCTCACTGAATTTATTATATATGATAGTATAAACAAAAATTTTTACAGGCAAAGAGATAATATAGAAACTATTGTTTGTTTTCTGTTAGCTGGTTTCTAAATACTCTGTAATACTTTCATACACTTGAATGGTTTCACACTGATATGTTTGATATGTTTGATGCTATAGTATATGAAGTTATATTCAAATATTTCAAGGAGAGAAACACTATGGTAACTACTATTAAAGTCGGGTTATTTGGTGGTGAAACACTAGGTTGCTGAAATTGCCATGCTTTGGCCTGTATTGTTATGTTGTTATGTCCTCTTTTACCTCAATCTCCTCCTTATTCATAAAAAATTTATTATTTTTTAATTAAGGGAAAAATCAAAAAAAAATTAGCAGGGTATATTATAGTAACTTTTTTGATTTCCTATTAACTTGATTTGAAGCCCTGTATTACTCCCACTATCTTGTTTTGACTGACTTTACTCTGTTCTGTTCTGTTTGATAGTATCAAGTTTGAGGGTATAGGCAACTACTTTAAAGGCACTAAGATTCACTATGATGCCCATTCTGGTTTGTCTATTATCTTCTTTTGAAGTCCTGTAATGTCTCCAATGTTATAGGTTTTATTGGTCTTGTTCTGTACTGTTTTGTTCAATTTTATTATACCTAATGATATAGGCAATTCTTTTTAAGGAAGCAAGAGGCATTATGGTAACCATTGTTGATAACCTTGTACTCTTTTTTTTTTTTTTTTTTGTCTTTTTCCTTTTCATCGGTACCAGGGATCGAACTGACGACTACCTGCTTGCAAGGCAGGTGCTTACGCCACTGAGCTAAATCCCCAGCCCCCCTTGTACTCTTTTTACATCATGTGCTATGTCTATCCTTTGTTTTGACTGACTGTTTTGTTTTGTCATTTTTTTTGGAAGAGAATAAAACCAAAAAGTAATAAGAACTATGGGAGTAATAAAACCCAAAATGTGTAAATTTGGTTGTAAAAAAGAGGGAAAAAAAGTGCTCTAAAGGATACAACTGCAAGTGTTTAGGTGTGTTAAGATAGATGACCATATTACTGAGTTTTTGCTGAATCATTGAACACAACTGTTTGCAGTCTCACTATTTGAATGTCCACTTTGTATGCTTTAATCCTGTAACTTGAACAACTATTTCTAAGATGACAATATGTAATCTATTAACTAGTAATTTCTTACAATTTTTTTGTAATTCTGTATTACTTGTACCCTTATACTGTTTTGGTTTTTTTTTCCTTTTAAATAAAAATTTTTTTAAAAAAGAGGACTTTCAGAAGTGCTTTAGAAAGTGGCACGATGGATGGGATAAAAGTGTTCAAAGCAAGGAGAAGTGTGCTGAGGGGTGTTAATGGCAATGTGTATTAAAAATAATTTCTTAAAGTTTAAATACTGTATTTTAGCATACACATCATATCCTTAAAATCTATAAAACAATCATATTTTTAAAATATGATTGGGAATGAAAAACACATATCAAAAGGAGGACAACAGAATTGGAGGCCTTCATTTGCAAGTGATTTAAAAGTATTTCATTTTCAGAAAATATGGAAAAATTCTAAAATTTGACACAGTTGCCTGGCAAGTAAGTGAGCATCCAGTAGTCATAATAATTTTCAGCACATTAAAAAGATAAAATCTTAATTCTTACATCTTTCACTCAGCCATAATTCATTCCCCATAGTTCCAAGATGCTTTTAACACCCAGTACCAATATTTAATATTCTAAGTATTTAAACTCCAAATTCTTCTTACCACCCACAGTCAAGATTGTCCTTGCAAAGTCTTTCCTGAAACATTAAGACAAGTTACATTTTACTGAAATGAACATCAAAAGGTAAAACTTTATTAAACTGGCATTAAATTTTAAAACTAAAATATGCACTTTGAAATTATTACATATTCAGCATCAAAATGTCCATAATACATTTTATGGAAAAATATCTTTGTGTTCATATATCAATGATCTACTATATTCGTAATTTCTTAAATACAATGTGTACTAGCTAGAGCAAGTATACATTCTCAGATTCTATTCACCCTTCTGTAAAGCAAGTTTACTAGAATGATGTAGGAAGATTCATGAAATGGTACAATTCTGGAGTTTTGTAACCATCAACCTATGAACCTATTTACATACTTTGACATCTGACAGAAATGAGACCAGTTTGATGTGACGTTTAAACCTGATCAATTTTGTATAATGGGATTAAGTATTATGCAATTATACATTTATTTTATATTTCTACTAAACGCTAACAGATAGGATGTCAATCTTTTTATTAATGCCTGAAAATCTCCCATTTTAAAGAATCCAACCCTTGAAACAGTACCATGGAGAGTTTTGCTTGTCTTTGTGATTGTTAGATTTTTGACTTGAGGTCCAGAACATTCTAGACTTTTCTAGAAACAAGGTAACATGACCACAGGATTAGTGAGAAAATATTAGGTCAGCTACTCTCCAAATCTGAATATTCCAGTAAAGGTAATGATTTCACTAACATATTCGATACTTTAATTCAATGGAACAACTACATCCTGCAATGACAAATGGGGAAGGAGAATGTAGGAGAGATGAGTTCCATGCTCGCCAAGCATTTTTTAGGCTTTGTCCTGTGGTAAACGCCCTGGTTGTGCCTGCAGGCCACACAGTGATGGCTAGTGCAGTTACCTGTTTAGCTTCAATTGTCAAAATAGGGCATTGGTCTTGCTCTTTCCTTAAATTTTACAACCTTCCCACCAAATGTCATGCCCCTCAAAACTATGAAACTTCAATTGAGCCTAGCCAAATCCCTCCCAAAAAATCCATCACTTGAAAAGCAATACAAAGCCCTATTCTAGCTAGGAATTGGCAACCTTAAAGCATTTATGTTCTACTCACTTTAACATGGATTTCCTGATTTGACCTTGACAGTAATTCTGTCAAATAGTTATACAGTTCATTCCATTTTATAGATGAGCAAACCAGCGTACGCTGAGATTAAAGCTGTGCTCACATCTTACTGTTAGTGGCAAAAACAGGACTTGAAACCAAGCAGCCTGGCTCGAGGGTCTGTGTTCCTGACATTACTCCAATACACCACTAATATGGAAAAAAAATGTCCCCTAAGGCATTTTGTCTCACAAATGTAATACAAAAGCAAAATCCAAACCAAAAAAACCTACCCTGAACTACTGAAAAAGAAGAGTCTGGCAAAGTCTACCTTTTGTCCCAAGTCCTTGTTCACCACCTTGCTCAGTGCCCCAAGCACCTACAGAAGAGAGCTCCAAGTATTTAGGTCTAAGAAGGACAGCAGAGTCCAATTCTGAGAGATTCTGTCTTTACAGCATCCCTTAATCAAGTGCCAGATTACTTACATAAGGTTGCTCATGCCTTCTGCCAAAGGGAGTCTCCTCTTCTCTGTCCGAGGTATCCCTTGCAAAATGCTGTTTAAAGTCCTCAGAGCCTTGGGGGAATTGGAGCAGGCATTCACAGGGAAGAAACAAAACAGAGACCTAAGCACCACTTTCCCTGAGGGTTCCGAGCAACTGTGACCCACTGCTACCTGTAACTCACCTCCTGTTGAATCAAGAGATTTACAGTCTTTTCTGTCACCAGGAGTCCTAAGCTAAATATGAAGGAGTCCAACATCTGAATTTTTCCTGAAAGCATAATTTGAAAAGCTCAAGTGTACACCCTGAAGAGTGTGGGAATGACCTCTAAACTGCCGTGTGATGCCCAGTCTACAAGCCATGGGAGCACTCAACAATTCAGAACAATGTAGTTTGGGGAAAGGACACATTACAGCCTGCTGCAAGTTACGGAAGCCCCCAGGTGCCAACAGACTGTGTTACATAAAGCCCACCGCGGAGAACTGCAGTCCTGCACACACTGTGACATATTGCCTAGAGCAAAGCTACTTTTCTGTCCAGACTGAGCGATGTACCAATTACAGCTCTTGCAGTTTCCTGCCATCTCTTGCTAGTTCTATGTGCTTTCTACATTGTATTACATAAAAACAAAAATTATATGTATAAGGTTGTGCACTAACAAAGCAAGAATATTTAAGTAAAATATTGGTTTTTAGTAATACAATCATAGCAACTTCAGCAGCTATTTATATGTCAGTAAACAGGGCTAGGCAATGCTATTTTATGCCTACTAAATAAACTTTTTGTTGTTTTATAGGCATATGTTAAGATATGAAATAATAGGGGTAGTATATACTACAAAAATCTCATAAGGTCATAATGTAGCTTTGATGGTCCAAATACATAACTTTAGTATGCAAATTAACACAAACTGTATACTTTTTTTTTAAGAGCAGAATGTATTTGAGAGAAAAAAGCTTCTGTCTGAGAGAGACACAGAAAGGGCCCCAAGTGGGTTGTCCTGTATACTTCCTAATCCCCATGTAAGTCATGATATTGCAAGAAGGCAAACTAGAAAGTAAAAATGTAAAGGACTTATTTTTGGTGCCAGGAATGGAACTCATGACCTCGCACTTGCTAGGCAGATGCTTACGCCGCTGAGCTAAGCTCCCAGCCCCAAGTCTTCTCTTTTTAATCTAGACAAGCCAACAGGGCTGGGTAATCTCTGGAAATAGAAATGTGGCTAGAGTCTGTTGTCACCAATCATGATCATCATCATCTAACAGAATTGAATGGTACAAGACTCAAGGTGCTTGTGCATTCTGTTAACTGACACACACCATTTTAGGTCCTTATTTTAAGGGTAGAAGCTAACAGCATATGGCCCTATGAAAGAACTGAGAAACCTGGTTAATCGAGACACTGCAAAAAAGTGACTCTTCAAAATGTTTACTCAAGAACCTTTACAATTTAAGAAGCATCTGATTCATCTCAAAATTCAAAATATGTGAATTATACGTAATAAATAATTGTGCAAGAAAATGCAATAGTCTAAGGTGAAAATAGGTACAGAAGAAAAAGAAATGTGTAAAAAGTAACTAAAGCCATTTTAGGCATTTCATTGTGATGGACTAGTACATGGGATTAGTTACAAAGACTAGAAATATGTGGAAAGCCAAACTTGGAAAAGTGAAGCAGCCCAGAGATTAGTATCAGCTGGAAGCCACCTTAGTTAGCCCTTTCCCTACTGTCTAGGGCAGAGGGTCAGAGGAAAGAAGAGCTATTGCCAGACCCATGGAATCTTATTTGCCCCTCCTATCTCCGGTTTCTCACCTGGATAAACCTAGCAGGGTTCCAGTTGGCAAAAAAAAAACACCTAAGAAAAACAGTACTCTACAACACCAAGCAGAGACAGAAAGCAAGATGTAGATCTAAGAGCAGGCAGGTCACCATCACCTACTAGTTTCAAGAAAAAGGATGGGTCTTGGTTACTTTTCTCTCGTTGCTCCATTACCCAAAATTAAGGAAGGAAAGGTTTATTTAGCTCACAGTCTGTGAAGGTTTAATTCCACAATCAGCTGGCTCCAAGACAGGGTGGCAAGGCACAGGGGCCGCACTTCAAGGCAGCAAAGGACAGCAAAAGCAGGCAGAGCGACAGGAAGGAAGAGCCAGACTCTTTTCTGCCTTCTATTGTATCAGGCTACCACCTCCCCCCAGGGCAGGGGTAGCCCTCACACCATTTCTCTGCACTCTGGCACAGGCTCAGGGTGCTTACAAAGGGAGGACCCTGGCTCCCTGCTGAGGCTGCTTACTTAAACTTCTAAACTTCTCAAATGGATGCCATCTATCAGCTGTCACAGGAAGGGGTCACAGAACTGAAGTCTGCAATGAGAGAAGAACTGCAGTATTACCTTCCAAAAAGGAAGCTCAAGAATCTCTGTCAAAACTCAAAACTAAGCAAAACAAAGATGCACAGGAAGGCCAAAGGCAAAGACTCAACCTAGAAAGGGACAAAGAGCAGCTGCCAGGACTCCCCAGGCCACCTCCGCACCAGCCTTCCCTGCTCCGCCTCTGCTAGGGAGCCCTGGCCCTCTGTCCACACCCGACTCACCCCAGTCCGGAATCTGAACTGACTCAAAACATGATTTCATTTCAAAACGCAAACAAATTTCTCTTTCAAAAAAAGAATATCGATCCAGTAAAAATGGGCCAAGACCCCGAACAGACACTCCTCAGAAGTATAAGTAGAAAATAAAATATAAGAAAAACTACTAATGTTTTTAACCATCAAGAAAATATAAATCAAAACTACATTTGAGATTTCCTCTCCCCCAATTCAGAATGACTATAAAAAATAAAAACAAATAACAAAATGCTGGTGTGGATATGAAGAAAAAAATACTTATACTGTTGATGGGAATGTAAGTGAGTACAGCTATCCCTAAAAATAGAACTACCACAAGACCCAGCTATCACACTCTGTGTGTGTGTGCATGTGCACACACACATCTGAAGGAAATGAAGTCAACAAATGAGAGATGTCTGTATGCCCAACCTTAGCGACATCTTACTTCTGAAAATTTACCACCGTAGCAACAGCAGCAAGAAACCCTGTGGTAGACATTAAAACACAGAAAGGACTTCAGCTCAGAGTCAATATTCATTCACACTACACTGACTTGACAGAAGTAGAGAAGAACACTCAGAGACCACTTTCACACACCTGCAGGGTAAAGCACACGGACTCAACAACCAGACAGATCTCACACTTTCCAGATTTACGGAGAAAGGAAGTCACTGTCTCTGACTTGGTATATCCCATGTCAAGTCCCACTAAAGACAGACAGACAGGCCACAGAGAAAACACATACCAAGATCCAGTTAGAATTAAACTCAACAATGCACAATAGACAGACAGCCCAGGGAATGTGAACAAGAGAAAAAAAGCTGTACCCCTTAATATTTAAATTAATATTTAACTAATATTTAAAAATAAGGCAATATGACACTCGAAAATACTGCCACAGTGACTGATACCAGTGAGACCAAAATGGGAGAAATACCAAAGAATTCAGAAGAATGATCATAAAAATGATCGACAAACTCAACTAAATGAAATGGGATAATTTTAATAGAAATAGATTCTGAAAAATATTGAAAATGAAAAGTTCAACAAGCCAAATAAATTCAGTGGAAAGTGTAATCAGCAAGTTTGATCAAGCAGAAAACTCAGTGTCAAGACTTGACTCTTAGTTTATTTCTAAGAAGTTATAAAAACATCCAAGACCTCAGAGCCAGGATTTAAGAGTTTTTGGAATATAAGAGGGGTATGAGACACAGACTAAAGGCACAGAAAGTTTATTCAGTGAAATAGAAATTTCCCAAATTGAACATCCAGGTACCGGAGATTTTAGAACATAAAAAGGCCTAACCAGAAAAAAAAAAAAACCTCCCATGCTAGAAACTAGAAAACAACAAACAACAACATCAACAAAACACAAATATATGGAGATCAAATGATAAACTTTTGAACAATTAATAGGTCATTGAAGAAACCAGGGGGTATTTAAAAATTTCTACAAACAAATGACAACGGGAATACAACCTGTGAAGGCATTCCCCCAAGAGGCAATTTTATAACTAGAAGGGCCACATGAAAAAATCCAAGTGCTCTCAAATACATTACCTAATGACACATCTGAAGGTTTTAGAAAAACAAAATCCAAAACCAGTATAGGAAGTGACCAAAAGTAGAAATAAAATGGAGACTTTAAAGGATACAAAGGATCCATGAATCAAAGAGAAGATAAACAAGATTGATAAACCCAAACTAATCAGAAAAAGAGGAAAGAGATTAAAAAGGCGACACTACAACACTGTTATGGTTTGCGTCTGGATGTCCCCCAAAGCCTCCTGAGGTCACAGATGGAGTTTTTCCAAGGTGACTGGATCTGGAACGTGTGACTGGAATTGATTCACCGTGTGGTGCTCGGATCCAGGGCACTAGGATTCCCGCCCTAAGTAGCCTGAATAAAATATAAGGTATTAGAAAGAGCTATGGTAGTCCCTTGATTTTTAAAATATTTATTTATTTATTTAGCTACCTTCTGCCCACCATAACTGTTTCTCTGTGATGCTCCTCTGCCACGCCACCCTGCCTAGAAGCCAGCCAATTACGGACTGAAACCTCTACAAATTGTGAGCTAAATAAACCTGTCCTCCTTTAGCTCTGGATGTTGGATATTTTGTCTCAGCAATGAGAAAAGTAAGTTGAGTAGAGATTCACGCATGTGGAGAACTTCTAAACAGTTTATGAGAATAAATTCTATTTCTATTCTATTCTATTTCTATTACATCTTAGCATGATGTAATGAACAAATATTCTGAAGAGACACTGATACCCAGTGCTAATTCTGTAGCATTATGATATAAAATCTAGCAATACTACTATTCTCTGTTCAGTGATATTAGTCTATTTTCTTTTCAACATACGTCAAAATATGGACAACTATTTGGAAGAGAATGAGAGACATTATGGCAGCCATTGTGGACTCCCCTATTGTCTGGTTTTGAAGACCTAAAATGCCTTCAGCATCCTGCTCTGATCAGTTTAGTACTATAATGTTCAGTAGGTAGTCACTGTGTGTGAAGATATGGATAATTATTTGGGAAAAAAAAAGAGACAATATGATAGACAGTGAAGATCTCCAGTGGTCTTGTTTTGAAATCTGTTTCTTAAGTTATTTTCTTATGATCTATTCTGTTCTGTCATCTTTAATTTTACCCTCTTTAAAATAAAAAAATTAAAAATATGGATAACTGCATGTATGTTTAAATGTATAGGATTGTTAATCACATTACTAAGTTTTTATTGGATAGTTGAACAGAACTGTTTGCAGTCTCATTGTTTGAATGTCCACTTTGTATGCTTCACTTTTGTAACTTGAACAACTATTTGTAAGAGGACAATATGTAATTATCAACTAGTGATTTCTTACTGTTTATTTTTCTTTGAAATGATGTATTATTTCTACCCTTTTTATTTTTATTCTTTAAATAGAATTTTTTAAAAAATCAAAAAAAAGTGAAAAGTCGAGTATATAACACTGAAATCCAGAGAACTATTAGAACTATTTCGAAAACATTCCAATAATTTGGATAATCTAGAAGAAATAAATTTCTAGATGCATACAAGAATTGAAACAAGAGCTATTAAAAAATAAAACTAAATAATAATAAATAATGCTGTTGAAGGAGAAATTAAAAGTCTCCCAATAAAGAAAAGCTAAAACTGGACAGATTTACTGGTGAATTTTACCAGACCCTGAAATAATACTAACACTCTTCAAACCATTTCACAAAATAGAAAAAAGACATGCATCCAAATTCATTCTACAAAACCAGTATGACTCTGTTACCAAAATTTGATATAGATTCCACAAAGAAAATTGCAGGCTAATAGCTCTGATGCACATACCTGCAAATGTCAATAAAATTCTCACAAACAATGCAACAAAGCATTAAAAAGATTATAACTCATGACCAAGCTGGTTTCATTCCAGAGATCCAAGAACAGTTCAAATCAGCAAATATAACATTCCATAAATGGCACCAAGGCTAAGAAAAAAAAATCACATGATTTCAACAGTTGCAGAAAAAGTCTTTGATGAAAACAGTTATATTTTTTATTATACTGAGGTCAGATCCTTCTATACATGACAAACCCACAGCCAACATCATACTGAATGGAGAAAACTTGAAAGCATTTCTTCTAAATACTGGGAATAACATAAGGGTGTTCACTTTCCCTACTCCTGCATGGATAGTACTTGAAATTATAACCAGAGAAATTAGGTGAAAAATAAAAGTTGCAAATGGGAAATAAAGATGGTAGGCTTCTCATTTGCAGATGAAATGATCCTTTCCTTAGAAGATCCTAAGAACTTCACTAGGAGACTTTTAGATTAGTAAATGGCTAGATGAAAAAAAATCAAAATTTAAAAATCAATGCCTTTTCTATACATCAACAATGGACACACTGAGAAAATAATTTCATTCACAATAGCTTCAAACATAAATATCTAGGAACAAGCCTAACCAAAGTGAAAGACCTCTACAATGAAAATTATAGTATTCAAGAGAGGAATCAAAGATGCTGGAAGACAAACCACCCATGTGCATGGGTCAGCAGACTCTGTTAAAATGGCCATATTACCTCAAGTGTTTGCTGACTCAACATAGCAGTGATGTTCCCTCATCTTCTGATACTTACCTTTAGTACTACTGCTGGAAATAATCTAATAAGAAAGAAAAAGTACAAAGCATATTCTTTAAAAACAACATAAGCTACATCATTAGTGCATAAACAATTGTATCCTCTAATAATTCAAGTGTTTAAATCTTTAAATCCAGAAGAATCAGAGAAAGCCTGTTTGAGTTTCAATCAACTCATTAAAAAAGAACGCATGCATCAAATGAATAGCAATACACATTTGTATCAAAATAAATTATCTCTCATTTTTGTATCACATTGGTTATACACACATATATATTCATGATTATTTTACATAATATTCTTAACACAGAGTCTTTTAAAAGAACTCACATCTCAACAAAAAGTCAAAAAAAATAAAGTCCAACCTTATAAATTTGAGATTTCTTATAGATTTGAGGTTTCTGCCCATGACAGCTGACCTGCTCTGCAGACCACCCCACCGGCCTTACCAGTGCAGAGTCCAGGAAGTCCTCCAGGAGGTCCGCCAATGCTGTGTCTGAGGCAAGGGTGTCAGTGCTCAGAAAACCTGTGGTCCTTTCAAACCAGGAAGCCATGTACAGAAAAGAAGAAACACTGGTACAATCAGCTAGGACTGAATATCGACTGCCTCTCCAACAGTTTCATGGGACAATTTTCTTACCGCAGCTAAACAATCCTGAAGGCCTTTCCCCCCGCTGCATAGTATTTCAGCTAGGCCCAGCTGTGAGGCCTCTTAGCCAGAGAAGGCCTCAGAATGGAGCCCACTTCCAGAGCTGCCCTCGGTTCTCAGATACCAGCGAGAGAGAGGGTTCGGCAGGACTGGTACCAGAAAGCCACCTGAAGCAGCTGGCCAGCGAAGTTTCGTGTTTTCCATTTGTTACACTGGGGATAAAGCCCTGGGTGTTCACGCTGAGCTGCATCCCCAGGTGTGTGTGGGGTTTTTTTTTTATTTATTTTGTTTTTAATTATAAGACAAGGTCTAAGATTCCCAGGCTGGCTCCAGCTCGAGTGCCTCCTGCCTCAGCCTGGTTTTATAGGTGCTGATATTTCATGTGTGTGCTGCCACATCTGATTCTAGTGAGGGACGTTTAAAAGATAAACAACGCCAATACAGAGGGGAAATCGTGCAGATCTAAGAAGGTGTAGAACACAAATAGCATGGGCCATGGACACAAGCGGTCTCCAGGTAGCCATGGTTACAGTAAAGACGCCTGGCCCAGGCTTTCTTCTGCCAAAAGCTACCACCTCAGAGGTGTTTAGGATTTACATATCTAACTTCACATTAAATTTTTAAGAGGGATTCAACTTAAAATACACTTCTATAACCCCTTCTAAAATATACTTAATAAAGCAAAGACCATCTTTGCTGACACTGGTCATTTTTACAAAGAAAAATGTATATGCATTTTAAAGAGAAAGAAAAGTCCTGTATGCACATCAATTTGACTGAAGTCAGTAACGTGGGAAGTACTCTTAAGCCTAAAGGGGGAAACCAGATTGGGGTACAATCCCATTCATATCCCCAACATCAGCTTAAGTTCCAAAGCACTCCCAGGTCACCTTGCCCCATTTCAAAAACTATGGAGCTGATTACCTTTTCCCTGCCTCCCGGTATCTGCCTGGGTTAGTGCACCAAGGAGGTAAGTGAACTAAATGCAAAAATCAACACAGAACCTTTTGGGTCCCCTGCAAAAACTTTTAGTGCTCTAGAATTGAGTTTGGACAAGGCTGGCCTTGATTTTCTCTCCCCTAAAGTGTCAGACCTCCAATTAGTAGAAGTTTAGGAGACAAAACAGATCAAGATCTCGCTGGCCCAAACTGGTCTTGATAAATTTCAGGTGCTAAAGCCTGACACTAAAGACTTCATAATTATCCGGTCAGCCCTCCTCACCAGCAAACACACCATCACAGAGCTACAAAAGCCTCCCCAGGGAGGTTTGCTTGGCAAGAGATTTTGTAAATGCTGCATGCTCCCAGATGCCATTAATAAAGACCCTTATAAATGTTGCCTCATGGTTCATTTTAGAAAGCAAAAATATAAAAGGTCCGGTGGTTTAGCTCAGCAGCATAAGCACCTGCCTGGGAAGCTCGAGGTCATAAATTCAATCCCTGGCACCAAAAAAATAAAAATAAACAGTGAAAATAATCTAGAGAGTGACTTTCACCAAAAAGATGTTAATTTTTTTTTCAAATCTATCCAGCATTTAGAAAGCGAGACTAGTGTTACAGAGGCAAAAGTTTTAAAGAGTTTCTAGGTTTCACTTTGTGATACTACTGAAGTAACAGGACTGTTTATCCTCTCTTTCCTGATAATTTGCTGATCATTAAAAACATGCTGCTGCTTGTCAAGGAGAGGGGTAGTGCCTGCCTTAATCCTGCATTCTCAGGGTGCTTTTCCTGGCCTACACTTAGGAAACATGCATTCAATTTAATACCCGATTGGAAAGCAACAGCAAGAATGGATCCAGCTGCAAATCCACCCAGTCCACAGTGGTGTGGTTTGGTTTTGACGTCGTGGGGACCCAACTCAGAGCCTGGAGCGCCGCTAGGCAAGTGCTCTGCTGCCCCCACCAGCTTCTCCCATTAAGTTACCCAAAAGTCATAAAATGAAAGTGTGATACTTATCTTTGGGATCAGCCCCTGCTGAATTAGCAAGGGCTCCTCTTTTCCGAGGTCATCTTTGAAGAATCGCTGGATACATTTCAACAACAGCGAAACATGCTGAAATTCATTTTTATCCAGTTCCTAGATGATCAGACCACACACTAAATTAAATCCCTCACAAATAATTATACATTGCCTTTCAGTCACTTTAGTTCTCCCAAAAAACCCCAACTCACTTGCCTGATTTACTGATCTGTCAAGATGATGCAGTAGGAGATGATCATATTTTTGAGGAAATTGGCTTTCTTTCTGTTGAAGATACTCTTGTATCTCCTGAAATCTTTTACCATGGAAGGCACCAGTAATAAGCGACTGAAGCTGCAGAAGTGATGGTTGTAAATTACTTTTCCCCCAAGAATACTTCTTTTACAATATTTCTAATAAATATGGTCATCAGTAGTAGGTCAGTGGGAAATAACAGGGTAAAAACTGTCAACAATCACTTAAATGACTGAGGTTTCTGTTGGCTTCAGACTGTTCTCAGAATTCAGTTGCTGGACCAGTGGCAACCCTGGTGTCACCCTGGGGTCTGGGGGAGCCCTGTGGTTCATCCCGAAGCCTGCTACAGCTCGGGGACCACCATCGTAAGAAAAACTGCGCTCGAATTAGATGTAAATATGTGAAGATACTCTGCAATTCTGCAAATTCTAAAACATTAAGAAAATTCAAGCCTATGATCACTGACATACATGATAATAGATGGCTAATTGCATGCAACAAAAAATTGACTGGAATGAAAAAAAAACTATTTGAAAGAAATGCATTTTAGCTTCTAAAAATTTTATATTATTCTGAAAAGGAAATTTTGTTTGGCCACACCAATGATTACAGGTCTAAGTAAACTAATGAGAAAAACAAAAAACCCACCACTTTTACCCAGCCTCCTTTAGCATGGTCTATAATACAACCACAAGAAGCAAAGCAATCATCATTTGAAGAAATGATCATCCCAAGTAAACAAACTCTGGTGGCGATTATAATAGAAGAAAGACTTTGGATAAACTATGTTCAGATTGAGAGTTTTCAATTTTAAAAAGGGAGGGGAGGTTCTTTTCCAACCCAGTCATGAGTTTACGCCTTGTCTTTGTGACATAATTCTCAAACATTACTGTAGGGTTTTTTTTTTTTTCTTTTTCTTCTTTTTAACAGGGGAAAGCGCAAACGCAGTCCCCCACTACCACAAGTTTCCCACACTTGAGGAAATCGCAGGGGTCAGCACATCCGGGGTGCAATGGATGAGCCTCGCCCTGGGAAAACCACCTTCGTGATCATGGTATCTCCCGGCTGGGTCAGTACACCGTCGGATTTATATACAAGTTCAATGATCAAACTCCCACAACCACAAGAGCACCATCTGGAACATTTAATGGTGAATGATCATACATTTTCTTCCAGAAAGCTTTCTGACCCTCGGTTCGGGTTTCCCAACACATAATGAAAGCCATGTTAAATAACGTCACCCCTTGCCTTGGTTGCACTCCAACAATTGAAAATTATAATTCTCACAAAATATATTTAAAAATCTCTTCTAAGTAGGGTTCAGGCGCAATCCTGCCCCCTCTGAACTTAACCAACATCTTTAAATCCCTATCTTTGACTCTTTGCGTTGTTGTTCAGGGATCGAACCCATAACCTCACACAGGCATGCGCTCGCACCGCGGAGCTAACTCCCCAGCCCGACAGCACCGGCTCCATTTATAAATAGGAAAACCAGGGTGAACACCAACGACCAAAATCTAGCCCTGCTTTCCTCCCTCGGCGGAACAGTGGGTGAATGCGAGCTCAATGCTGGCAGCACCCAGGCCCCGAGCTGGCTGAGAGCCGCCCCGCAGCTAACCGAAAAGCGGGGCGTTTGGGGACGCGGACCTGGCCGGGGAGGCGAGGCCACGCGCCCTGCGAGCCGCACGCAGGAAGCGCGAGCTGGAAGGGGAGCAGCCGGGACCCCCGCGTCCCAAGCGACACCGCCCCGGAGCGCGTGCACGGGCGAGCGCGGGGCTTTGCTGCAAAAGCCGCGCAAACACCGCGGGGCCCCGGAGGCTGGCTCCACCGAGAGCCCGCGGGGGGCGCCCTTCCCGGCTGCCCGGGTCCCGGTGCCCTCGGTCCCTGCCGGGTGACGCGGGGCCCCGCGCTCGCTCACCTGCTGCATCCCAGGGCCCGGGCTGCGCTCCATCTGCCCGCAATCGCGGCCGGCTGGGCCGAGGCCCCGGGCGCAGGTGGCGCAGGGCTTTGAAGCCTAAAAGTGCTCATCGAGGGAACCTGCGCCGGAAGCGCTCCCGCCTCCGAGCCGAGGGCGGCCCGGGCCCGGCCAGCTGCGCGCGGGGCGGGACCTCGGGACCCCGGGACCTCGGGACCCCGGGACCCCGGGGGCGCCGCGCCGAGCTCGGCTCGCACCTGGAGTTCCAAATCCGCTCCTGATACTGTAAGAAGAGGCGTTTCCCGTCCCTCTGCTTTTTGTTTTTTTTTTTAAGTACTTCGGCCAAAGGGAGCATTTTCCGTACATGTGCTTTGCAGCTACGTTGTCTCGGATAGGTGATCCATGTGGACACGACACAAAAATTTTCCATCAACATAAACAAAATGCTCCCTCAAATCCAGACGTATAAAATGTGACTGGTACCATGCCTGCAAGCCGTGTTTCACGCTGTGACAGTTACACGGGAGACAAGTTAATAGGAACAGCAGAACAGCTGTTAGGAAACCCGAGCGCTCTGAGCCCTGCGCTCCGGCGCCCGCACTGCAGTGTTTAGGGCCTCAGGCTTCGTGCCCATTTCCGGTTAAAATACAACACTTTCCTTCATTTACCTGTTTAATTCACACCTAGCAAATGCAAAGTTTATTCCTTTTGTTGGAACAGACTCTTACGGTATTAAAGTAGTAATCGAGGCAGGGACAGATGTGAATTAAAAATATTTTAGGACAAAATATTTTAGGAATCAAAGGAAATATTAGGGCAGAAAAGAAACACAAAATTAAAAGCAATCATCGAAATACCACTTAACTGCACTTTATTTTAGATACAAAAATTCTTTAAAATAAAAAATTTGTTAGAAAACTTTATAATGCATTATTTTTAGATGGCAAGTGGGATCCATCCTTCCAAATTGTGGTGGGAATGTACTTGAAACTTCAGGAGACATTAAGAACTACAAAACAGACAATAATGCTATTTATTTATTTACTTATCTAGTGTATCTTCACTTTGGTGAGCTCCTCTTACCAACATGTTCTACCCCGGGAATATATGCTCTAATTATTCAAACACTAAATAGGGTGGTAGCTTCAGGACATTTTTGACACCAGAATCCATTCAGAAATTAATTTAACTGCTGAACATGGTGGTGCACACCTGTAACCCCAGCACTCGGGAGGCTGAGGCAGGAGGATGACTTCCAGTTCAAGGCCACCCTTGGCTACATAGTGAGTTCAAGGCCAGCCTGAACCACATAGCAAGACCCTGTCTCAATAAAAAAGAAAAAGAGAAAGAAAATTAATTAGACTGTAATATTAAAAATTACTTTCGTTTATATTTTTGAAGGGCCTCTCTAGGAACATGTCAAAGCACAGAAGCAAGAAATAATCTAACGGTGTGAAAATAATTCTATACATTCTTTGAGATAATGCTGAATGGCTATTTTCGAAGTTATTTTTTAAAATATTTGAATGTAAAGACCTCTTAAGCTACTACACTTAACGAAGCATCCATCTACTTAACATGGTGGATATTTTAAGTTTAAAAGGCAAAACACACACACACACACACACACACACACACACACACACACACCCCAAGTGAGAACCTGGAGCTGCCAGAGCTTTCCACACCCTATTAGTAAAATGAAAGCGTGCGTGATGAGGGTTTTATTTTACCTTCCTTGGGGAGGAGGAGTCCAGCGTAAAGCCAGAGGAGAACGGGCCGAGCTAGCGCTGACTTCCCTGTATCTCTGCGGAAGAAGGCTCTGTTTACGAAGCCAGCCTTACCGTGCTGGTTGCAGACCGAGCGGGAACTAAATTCCAGCAGCCCCGGGGTGACTAAAGAGCGACTCGAGGGACTTCCACCGACTTCCTCTATTGGGCGCCCCCAGCTGCCTGAGTCACCCTAAAAGAGGTGGATGCTCCGCACCAGGTTCCGTCCTAGCGGTGGGAGCCCGCGGCGTCATCGCCCGGCTTTTCTCCAGTTCCAAAACTGTCAGGGGGTAAATATGACTGGTCGTGATGTTCCCACGACAGTCTCAATAAAGATGTTTTAAAAGATATATGCTCATGCGGGTGGCGGTTGAGTGCTCAAGCAGGGAAGGCAGAAATGGTCTAGGGTTCCCCGATTTTCCGTTCCAGCACTGCAGACTAAGCCCATCGCCTGCGCACTGAGCTACTCACCCAGCTCAACCTTGCGATCTTCCTGCCTCAGCCTCCCACAGTACTGGCATTACTGCGCGAGTGCGCCTGGACCCGCAGAACACGGGACCCTCGTGCCCCTCCCAAAGAGCGGACCGCGGAGCTGGGGACAGGCACAAGGGCAGCCGGAACCAGGCGACTGGTTTGCCCTAAACGAGGAGGCGTAGGCGCGCGTGCGGAGACCTGGGCACACGGCCGGCGGCGGACCCACGTGCGGTCCCCACGCACGCCTACAGGCTTTATTAGAAAACCTCGGCTCCCAACGCCTGGAACAAGCTGTGACCAAACCACAAAGGCCGGTGGGGAGGTGGATTCGAATTTAAATGAAAAATTCCAACCCGCCACCTACCGTCTTGCCTTGGGTTTCCGCGCACCCGGGAGTGGGGCTCCCCCCGCCCCCGCGACTCTCCCCTCCCCGCCCCCCTCCTGGCTCTGTCGCTGGGGCGTGGGCGGGGCCGCGGGGACCGCGTTCTATAACCAGGAGGCGGGCGGTGGACTCGGTTCAGCACCGCGCCCCAGGACTGGGCCCAGCTGGTCCAGCACCGCTGTCTCTGGATTTCTAATCTCTGACTCTGTGTCTCTGTCTCTGTCTCCTTCTCCCTCTCTCTCGCTTTCTCTCTCCATCCCATTTCTTCACAAAAAGGAAAACAAGCCACCTAGTCAGTCACCTTGCACACCTCTTCCTTTCTGGTCTTTCAGGATCGCGGGCAGAGGGTGACCGAGGCGGCGCAGATGCCAGCCGAGGCCTCGCAGGACGCGGAGCGCGGCTGTCCCCGCGGGATGGCGCTCAGCTGGGACATCAACGACCCGCAGATGCCCCAGGTGAGTGGAAACGAGCTCGGAGGACGCACGCGCGCAGATTCTTGCGGAGTCTCTGGGCGCACGCACATTTCTGAGGGCCGTGAAACGGGCAGGGCGCCCCCGGGCAGGGCGCCCCCGGGCAGGGCTGGGCTCGCAGAGGCGTGCGCTCCAGGCGATTCCGCGGTGCATCTCTGGACACACCGGGGAACGGCGGGCAGGAGCGTCAGACTCCTGCCTCCAGAGTACCGTGAGGTCCGGACGCCTCTCCCTTCGCTTTCCCCTAATTTAAGAAAAAAAATCAAATGTTTCTTCGTTGCCTACCTAATTAAAATCCAAGAAGCGGCCAGGGGGAAACTTCGCCAAACGCAAAGAGTACTGTTTCTTATGCAGTGCAACTGCGAGGCGGGACTGCAAATGCAGGAGACCCCAGGGAGAGCAGATCCCGGACTCGGGCGATCTGTTCAGCAGGATTCTGCCTGCATGGCGCGGGCTCCACGGTCCTGTTAGGGAAGCCACCTGCTCAAAGCTCATTTCTCTAATGTCACGGAAGTCACTCCCCCATACACACCTTTTAGGGTGAATTTGTTTTGTTTTGTCTTGGTTTGGTTTGATTTGGGTTTGAAGGTTCCAAGTGCAGGAAACGAAGTAAACAGTTATCCTTGGTCATAGTTTTTCAAAATGAAAACTAAAATGTGCTTGAAAGTCCCAGGTGTAGCCGCGACTATGCTTTTCATCTATTCGTTGAAGGTGTCAGCCTTCCAGCAAAATGGGGACCATAAGAGGGGAAACGGGTGAGGGGGACCAGGTTGGGGCGGGGAGCTTAGGAGCCACTCAGCCTCTGCCATGAGCAGAGGAATGTGGATCATGAGCGCCCTGTGTGGTCTCTCCTACAGCCAGAGCTTTCTTTGATACACCCTGCAGTAGGTGGGTGTCACTTGCAGGTTTTAAAGTCTGCCCGTGTAAACCCTGCTAGGAAACAATCTAATGCTGCCTTTTAGCTAAGAAAAGCTCAGCCCTCAAGCGGATTCTAGGTGTCCTGATAAATGTGCACTGCTCTTCCTGGGAGAATGGTTGTTAATCAGGGAGTATATGGAACATCTCAAAACTGACAATTTTATATATATCTTATATATATGTGTGTGTGTGTGTGTGTGTGTGTGTGTGTGTGTGTGTGTGTATAAAATCTGTGGAAATAGCATTCCAGTCCTGCTCTGGCTGAGAGAAAAAGTGAAACTGGCCACATGACCTTGAGAGTACTTGAAATTGCCTTGGTCTCAGGCTACTGACCTATCATCAAGTGCTGAAGTCAGATAAGGATCTCAGTGGCAGGTCCAGATAGACTGTCTCCTCTGTGTCTCTCTGTCTCTGTCTCTTTCTGTCTCTTTCTCTCTCTCTGACATACACAGCCAATATACTACTGCTAATGAAACCCAATGTTTGATTAAAAAGACAGTGTTTGTGGCTTCGTCTCCGGTCGCCCTGTCTCAGGAGCTGGAGGTACAAGACACGGGGGCCCAGTCCATGATCTTAGGGAGGAGAACTAAACAATTCCCCTTCCTGGAAAACTGTTCATTTGTCATTAAGATCCATAAGTTGAAATGTTCACATTTAAACAAAGATGTTCATTTGAAAATAAACTTACAGTTACACATCATATAGGATAATCCATCATCATATATATTTCACTTGTGACTTACCTTAAATCAATGTGTTGGTTTATGTCATTGTAATATTTCAAAGAAAGCTTATTCCTATTAGTAACAATGGTGATTTAAATTAGCCTTGTGATTTGGGAAATAAAATCACTCCTGAAATGTTATTACTGTTAGGATAGAAGATCTATCAATGTACACAAGTCTGAATTGTCCAAACAAGAATGCTTTGGTTTCACAAATCTTTGATCTAATTTTCCTGGGGGAAGGCAGGGGAAGAGTTATTACAAGTGGCTTCTGTTGTGATACCACTCTTCTGGCTCTTTATCATAACTGCCAAGCCAATAGATCTGGCTGCCAGAATTTCCCTTTAATTCACAGCTATGCCGCTGTAGAGGGTCATCTATCTAGCCTCTGCTTCCTTGTGAAGATTACAGGTATTGTATAATATGGCTTTGTGAGCTACCCTGTCTCTGTCCCAAACGCTCAATTCGGCACTGCAGGGCAAAAGTATCCATTAGAAGACCCAATGTGGCCAGTCCCAACCAACTTAATAAATTCTATCATTTGAATGCTGTGTAAGTTTCATGGGTTACAAAAGATTTCTTTCGATTTTTCTTCCAACTATTTAAAAATGTAAAAAGCATTCTTCTGGAGGCCATACAACAAAAAGAAGTGGGTTGGATTTAGTCAATTGTTGCTAGTTTATTAGCCGTTACCTTGAAGAATACACTACAGGGTAATTTTATTTTGAATTTATATACAAACAAAAGATTGTTGCAGTATACATAATGCATAAAACAAAAACCATCGAATATGAGTATTAAAGTAATGCTTGGTATTTTAGCTCTTTACCCTGGTACCTTAACTTGGAGAATGTGCTCAATATTTAATCACAACACACAGAGGAATAACGAAGTGATAAGGAGCACCGTTCAGGAGTTAGACTTCCAGGGCTGACATCCGGAGCCAGGGCTTGCTAGCTGTGTGAGGTCAGGCAGTCAATTGGCTTCTCCGGCCTCACTTCCTATTCTAAAGCAGACAGCATAACTAACCTGTTGCTCACACCTGGTGTGCAGGCCAGACGAACCCATGCACGTGCAGGTTCAAGCAATAAGTCCTACATCAACAGTCACCGTGGATCAGAAGGGCAGAGCACGTGGGGTGACCCTGTCCTCCCCCTCTTCCCAGGCGCCCACCCACTTTGACCCCTTCCGGGAGTGGCCCGATGGCTACGTGCGTTTCATCTACAGCAGCGCCGAGAAGAAGGCGCAGCGCCACTTGAGCGGCTGGGCCATGCGCAACACCAACAACCACAACGGCCATATCCTCAAGAAGTCGTGCCTGGGCGTGGTGGTGTGCACCCGAGCCTGCGCCCTGCCCGACGGCTCGCGCCTGCAGCTGCGCCCGGCCATCTGCGACAAGGCGAGGCTCAAGCAGCAGAGTGCGTGTGGCCCTGGTGGGTGGGTGGGGTGGCCTGCGTGATGACCCCGTCCCTGCGTGCGTGGTCACGGATATCTCTGCCTCCGGGCTTTGCAGAGAAGGTTTGCCCCAACTGTCAGTCTGCTCTGGAGCTGATTCCTTGCCGAGGGCACAGCGGATACCCGGTCACCAATTTCTGGCGCCTTGATGGCAGCGCAATATTTTTTCAGGTAGGAAAGGGGACGCTACCGCCTGGGGTGGGTATTTTCATCGTACCATTGAGCTGACCCACCTGCCATCGGCTTTGGGACCCCTGGTTTAAACTAAATACAGCTGGGCATGGCGACGCATGCCTGTAATCTCAACACTAAGGAGGCTGAGGCAGGAGGATCATTGCAAGTACAAGAACAGCCTGGGCTACAAAGTGAGCTCAAGGCCAGCCTGAAACGCATAGAGAGAACCTGTCTCAAAAAGACAAAAATAACAAAAATTTAAAAAAAATAACAACTATGACTAAAACGTGGTGGAGAACACTGGGGACATGCTAGATCCCCACAAAGTAATGGGTCGAGTCATAATTTATTTAACAGTTTATTACAGATCATCTTTTAAGATGTTTATTATTAATGGTGTCTTATTTTTGAGAATTTTTTCTATCATTTTGCAAAAAAAAAAAAAAAAAAACAAAGAAAACATCTTAGGTCTTGGGAAAGGCATGATGGAGTTTTAACTGGCTTCTGACATAGCCAGCTTCCTTTAGAGGGACAAAGAGACAATGCATTCTTCATGAACACAGGCCAAGGGAGTTCATGACCACCCCAGACCAGAGAGTAAGTCAGAGACGGAAGCTAGAAGAAGTGCCCTCAAGAGACAGATGGCCTCTCTCTATCACTCTCAGAAAAAGAGAACTCGAGAACCCGAGGTAAGGGGGCTGGCGTGGCATGGACATGGCATGGTTTTCATTCCACAAGATACACTTGTCATTAATAGAAATATGAAATGGTTGAAATACAACATTTATAAATATTATCTTTCGGAGCATAGCAGCACACGCCTGTAATCCCAGCACTTGGGAGGCTGAAGCAGGAGGATTGCCACAAGTTTGAGGCCGGCCTGGGCTATATGAGTTCAGGGGAAGCCTGATCTAGACAGCAAGATCCTGTCTCAAAAAAATTATCTCATAAAGGTTTCATCTCATGTGAAAATTATATACTTTTAGAAAATTAAGTCAACATTTGGATAGAGTTTGATCTCTTCTTTAAATAAAGCAGACAACCTTTCCAGGTGATGACATAGTTAGGTTGTGTTGAAATGGATGTGATTATTTAGCTAATTAAGAAAGAAATACACTAGAGCACCCTCATCCTGAGGGGTTATGTTCAATCCCCACCCCGTGAACACCTGAAACTGTAAGTGGTACCAAACCTTGTATGTATCATGTTTTTCCTATATATTCATCCCTCTGGAAAAGTTTAACTTATAAATTAGGCACAGCAAGAGATTATCAACAATAACTAATAATAAAACCTCTCCTGCAAATGTACTGTAAGTAGTTACTTAGAAAGACAATTGTTTATTTCTGGAATTTTCCATTTCATATTGTTGGACTTTGTTGACCACGGAAAATTGAAACCTCAAAAAGCACAACTGTGGATCAGGGGTCATTACTGTATGTCAGTGTGACAAACCTATGATGCATATGCCCGCTGTGGCACACTGTCATGAGCCATCTGTTGGCACATGAGCCAAATCACTCCAGCAGCTGAGCACTGGATAACAGTTCGTTTTTCCTAAACAAAAATCTCAGTATTCAGGTTCAGTTGTGGTATTGGCATCTTGCAATAAATTAATGGGTTTTGGTTACAGTGTGGGCACTCAGTTTCTAGAAGGTCTATCTTCCCTGATATCTGTGCACACTGACAGTGAGCAAAGGGACTATCCCTAAAAGGATCCTCTTCATTTGTGTCAGGCAGCTTTCCGTTACTGTGAGAAAATACCTGAGATAACCAACTCAGAAAATGAAAGGTTTTTGTGGTTCAGTTTTAGAGGTTTCAGTCCACGGCTGTCGTAAGGCAGCACATCAGAGAGGAGTGCAGGGTAGAGGAAGCTGCTCATCTCATTGTCAGAAGCAAAAGAGAGAAGAAAGAGCCTGGGTTCCAATATGGCTCCAAGGCCACACCCCCATGACCTAAAACTCCCACTAGGACCCACCTCTTTCTCTACCACTTCCAAATAAACGCCACTGGGGACCAAGCCTCCAACACCGGGGCCTTTGGGGGACATTCTAGATCCAAACTGCAGCAATATTTCTATACCAGAACAGATGACATTTCTTTGGGCATCTTGATCCAGTGTTGCTTTTCCACCAGAGCATGGCTGGCAGGCAGTGTTAGTGTGAGCGTGACCAACTCTGACCTTGTTGAGCACCTGCATGTGCGGACGCTACCCTAAAACATCCAGACAGCTAATGGTCGCAGCAACCCGTTGGTCATGGGAGCTCTGTGATGCTATCGTGGCACTGAAGTCCATATTTAAAACAAGTTATCTGAGGTCCAGATAGAGTAAGTTACTTGCTCCTTTAGTAAAGGACAGAGTCGGGATTTGAAAGCAGCTCTGTGGAGCGTCTAAGCCAGGTCCTCTGTATTTGTACCATGTTTTAGGTAGGAGAGAATCCAGACAGCAGTGGACAGTTCAACGACACTTCTCTCCTGGGGAATCCAGAACTGTTTGATGTAATTCCTGACAGCAGCTTCTCTAGTCCAGGGCAGACTTGCCCTTCCTTCCCGGACGCGGACGTTTACACGGCTCCCTGTGATCTGGCCACCCTTCAAGGAGACATCACATCCCCCTTCCAGAAATATCCAAACCCAAGAATATATTTGCCCAGGCCACCTTGCAGCTATGACTTGGCAGGCCCTGGATTCACAAACCCAAGCCCGTTTTCCGCGCTCTGTAATGATTCCACCAGCATCCCAAATGACACAGACTGGGTTCATCTGAACACACTGCAATATAACATCAATTCCTACAGCAGCTATGAGAGCAGCTTTGATTTCACCAGTAAACCATGTGGCTGGAAACCAGGCCTTGGAAATCCGGGCCTTGAGGAGAGGCTTGACCATGGACAGTTCCAGGCTGTGGCCAGGTGTCCTTATTACAACCCTGAGCTTCCCTGCAGGTACCTCGTGACACCCTCCACAGGTGGCCCAGCCCTGCAGACAGTGATCACCACCACCACTAAAGTATCCTACCAGGCCTACCAACACCCGGCGCTGAAACACAGTGCCAAGGTGCAGGAGCTCAGCAGCCTGTCCAGCTGCAGCTACGCTTCTGAAAACCCGTCCGTGTCCATCTGTCCAGAAGCTGTGAACCCACCCTCTGCAGTGTCCAGGTCAGCCTCTCCCATGGGGAGGATGAGTTTGAAAATTCCGGAGTATTGGGCCAACAGACCCCCTGTGGCTTTTCCTCGGGAGGCAGCTGCCTGCAGGACAGACGGAGCAGACTCCTGGGATGTGTGTCTGTCTGGCCTGGGTCTGTGATCAGTTTCCCTGACAAAGCAGGTCTGCTCTTTGTTTATGGCAATGAGGACTCTTGAACCATATTTCCAGTGGCCCCAGGAAATGCAAAGTAGCTGGGTTGAGATAGTCAGTTCATGGGCAGGACAGTAGTAAAAATATTTTTTTTTTTCTTTTTATCGGTACCGGGGATCGAACTCACGACCACCTGCTTACAAGGCAGGTGCTTATGCCGCTGAGCTAAATCCCCAGCCCGTAAAAATATTTTTTGACAGAGGAAATTATCAGCTGGAAATGGTTGATAGCTTTGAGAAATCTGGCTCCACATTTTGAAACCAGCTACAGTAGAAAAAAGTAGGTGTGAGCTCCCAAATCAACAAATAAACCAACTGAGATCAGGAAGGGTAGAAACATTGGCCTACCTTTGCTTGGCCTTTGTGCTGCAGGAGAAATGAAGGGTCCTGGTTCTCGTTCTATGGCTTTCCCGTTGGGACTCACACAGCCCATAGAGGCTTGTTAAAGAGCGTCAGGAAGAAATGACTTCAATTTTATGCCTAGGGTCATTTCATAATATTTTTGTTTAGCATCTAGAACCTGTTAACATGACCTCTGATAGTAGTTTTGATCATTTTGTCTCCAAAGTATATCATAAAAAAACTTCGGTAATAGTAAAGTACAATTACTTTTAAAAGAATTATAGTTTTATTAATTAGCTGAATTTGTTTCCTGCACTGGGGGTTGAACTCATGGTCGTTACACTGAGGTATATCCTCAGCCCTTTCTATTTTGAGACAAGCTCTCTCTAAAATGCCAAGATGGGACTACAACTTCCAGTCCTCCGCCTGAGCTTCCCAAAGGGCTGGGATCACAGGCATGGGATCCACAAACATGATGGCCTTCACAGCAGAGGCTGCCTAGTAATGATGCATACTGACTGGGTTGTTACTGTACTAATATTTTTTGTGATTAGGCTTTAAAAATTAAAATTGAGATATTGTGTTCAAAGGCTATATAACTTTATTCCTCCTTGTTGCTCTTAAGTATAATTGATAATGTTCAACTTAATGTAATAAAGACATTTTAAAGTATTGTAACTGATGCTTGAATTATTTTACCATGAGAATAGGAAGAGATATTATCCATATTCTAAACTGGAAAACTTATCATTAAATATTAATGCTTATTAACTAGGTTAACAGCTTTATTTTGAAAAGATCTGTTATTCTCCACTGTCATCATAAAAACTTGTCAGTCATTGGAATGGGGCTTAGGCTTGTGGCTCGGGGGAAAAGAACTGCCTAGCATGTTCTGTATTCAATTCTCAGCACTTTCATTCTTTCATTCTTTCTTTCCTTTTTTTTGTACCAGGCAGGTGCTGTGCTGCTGAGCTGTATCCCTGGCCTTGAGCTATATCCCCAGCCAGCACTCCAAAAAGAAAATTATGTACACAAATATATTTTTGTAGTGCTCCCAATACTTAGTGAAATACTCAGTTGAATTGTGATAATAAACTACATAAGAAATAAATTGTTGAGGGTGGAAGGGAGAGGAGTATCACTCTCAAATTCATATGCAGTGTCCAATTTGAATAACCGAATTGCAGTAAGTTGGATGCCATTCAAAAATCACTGCACATTTTGTATAGGTTGCCAGTGTCACAAAGCCATAATATCATAAAGTCACAAATGCATGCGGAACTTAGCAGAGGATTAAGCAAGAGCCAGGACTGATTGCCTAGCTGACTTTTCTCAAAAGAAATAATGCCCAGTAACTAACGGACTCCATTTTCTTCAGACTTCCATTGTCCAAGCTCACAGTTTATAATAACATTCAACTTTATACACCACTTCCCATGTGCCGACTCTGGTCCAAGTCCTAGAATTAGATTAGTTTAAGCTCACCGTGTACCCTGAGCTAGCTGAGAGAGATAAAATGACTCAGGAGGTGGAAGACCTGGGATTGAATCCAGGTTCTTCAGTCATGTTCTTATCCCACAGGTTGTATCGGCTTTAATGACTCACTTATCAATGAAGTTCCACGCAAGTGTCGGAACTGGCATGAAGTAGTGAGATCCACAGCACCTAAGTGTGTGTATGCAGGGTGGGTAGAAAGAGCTTGAGAGGAAGAGAGATCAGCAGACACGGGCTGGAAGCCCAAGGCAACACTTCCCAAAGTGTGGGGCGACAGACCCGGGTGGATAGTGGGAGTCTAGACCACACATTATTATGCATTTGTTTTAAGGTAGAGTAGGGGAGTAAAAGTAGCACATCGGATCTATTTCTGTCTAAAGGGAAAGAGTATATTGTCAAGGCTATTTAAGCAAACATCTCAAGCAAATATCAGAACAGGTGTTTAAGGAAATGACGACAATCGAGAAGGTGGTTTGAGAGCTACTGAAGACTAAGACACACTGGCCCAGGGCAAGGGAGGAGGGCCAGAGGGGACCAGCTCAGCTGGAAAAGAGTAAATGAAAGTGACAAGCAACTGTAATCACGAAGGCAGCAGGGAGAAAGCCCGGGTGTGAGCTGGTACCTGAAAACTGACCTGCAGCCACACTCGGGAGCCAGGCTGTGGGGGACCTACCTGTCAGGACAGAGGGGAGGAGAGAGGAAGCATCTCAGCCACAGGGTGCTCTGAGAAGGCAGTGTGCAGGGCACAGATGTCATGCAGCACAGAGCGGTCCTTGCAAACTGGACCAACCGAGGAAGGTGCTGAGAGGCTGAGGCTTTATGGCTCCAGAGCACTGATGCGTGAAGAAGTGAAGAGCTTCGTGGCACATGAGTGACAAGGGAAACTCACGGGGCCTGGTGCATTAGTGATCATAGTCGTTCTCAATTGGTTACTCAAATGGTTACTGATTACTCACAATAACTATTTATGTACTAATTAGCTTTCAAATATGCCAGGCATGAGGCTGCTAGGGCTGGTGATCTATTTTGTTCTGATTGGCTCATCAATGGGAAAGAGCCGTGTCTGAAGCTGAACCTGTGAGCTCCTGAGCTGAACCTGTGAGCTCCTGAGCTGCTGGGAGCACTGGAGGAGGAGGGGAGGAGGGGAGGAGGGGAGGAGGGGAGGTCAGGAGATTCCCCAGGGAGACAGGACCCAGCCCATGCCCGGGGACTCTAATCACAGACGAGCCCTCTTCCCTCCTGAATAGTCACAGTCTCAAAAAAGCCTATGTTTTGCAGAAGAACCTCAAAGCATTGGGCTGGACCTTGGATGAGTAGCTTCCATCACTACAGGCAGAATTCACAACTGACAAAAGGGTTTAAAACATGGGCTCCCATGTCCTCCCAACATGGTTCTCCCTTTCCCTGGGGGAGCCTTAACCATCCCAGTGTCCAGAATGCTCCTTGGACCACTTAAGTCAGAGTCTCTGCAGGTGAGATGCAGCCGTCAGAATAGTTGAAAGCTTTTCTAGAAGATTCCAGTGCATAACCAACGCTAGGGAACCTGCCAGACTAGGACTGGAAACTTCAGGAGAGTGAGCAGTCCCAGCTAGAAGGAACCAAGTCATCTATTTTACAAATTTAAAATTGAGCTTTAAAAACAGCAACTTTAAAGAATATAGCTGGGCTCCTGTATTTCTGGGTTCTGCATCCTTTCTGCCTGTCCTGAACAGATACAGACTTTTTCCTAGACTTGATCTTAACCAAATGACTGAATGGCAGTTAGACATTTTTCTTGCTGTTACTCCTTAACCATTTCAATAGAACCATTATTTATATAGCATTGATACCTCAGTGGGTATCAAGAGCCAACCAGAAATGATTTAAGGTTACAGGAGGCTGTGGATATGTTGTATTCAGATACTGGGCCATTTTATAAAAGAGACTTGAGCACCTGTGGGTGGATGGTCCTGAAATAAATCTTCCAAAGATACCAGGGGATGACAGTATCACTCCACTTACAAACAAAATCATCAGCTATTTCGCCTAATCATTCATTTAACAAATATTAATTATTTGTTGGATGCTACTGCGAAGTCTTGATGAAGACAGAATTGTGTCCATCAGACCTGTCCACACGGAACCCATTGGTGATGACGACAAAAGGCATCTCCTTCAGAAGTGACCGGTCTCTATGAGGTGGACTGGGAGAGGCTGAAACCCGGGGACCGTGCACATGCTCTGTGGGTGATGTAATGTTGGCTCAATATGAATGAAATCTACATTCTCGGTTAAAAACTGCACGGGAAGCTTCAGATTTCTTCCTGGGAAACTTGCCTGGGTGCTAGGGCTGTCAGGGATATCAATAAAAACACAGGTGGCTCAGGCAAATTTGAGTTTCAGATAAACAATGAACCGTTTTTGAGTATAAGTATATCCCGAATATTGAATGGCCAGAACATAAGTCATTTACCATTTATCTGAAGTTCAAAGGTGACTGGGTATCTCATATTGTCATGGTACTCCGCTTAGGGGAATATAATGATTTAATGTTATTCTTAGCCAAAATTTGATAAATGATGTTTGGTAACCTAACATGCTGAAAGTGTGTTTCTGTAAAAACAATCTGCTTGTTTGTTGTAAATTTATGGGGAAATAATTATTTTAACTGTATGCGTTATTTAGGGGAAATATATTTTATCACCCTTTGAAGTACAGAGGTTAGACTAAAGAGCTAGAAGTCGTCCTTTGCCATTTCAGTGTACAAACCACTCTGGATAAACAACCTAAATTCCTACCACTAACATTTCCCCCTATTTATCATCTCTCTGTTCCTCTTGGCCTTAAGCAGAAGAGTGAGTGTCCTCAGGACGCTGCCGCAGTAATGGATTCCATCAGCCCATTAGGGTGGGCTCGCCCAGCCTCTTTCAGACAGCTGAGCTACACACATCGCGCCGCACTTTGCAGCCCTCCTGGCAGACCTTCGGCAGCACATGTGAGGCATTGAGAGCAGTGATCGTGGGGAGCAGAGAGGAGGGGACGCATCTTTCCAACTTCAGCCACCTGTGGCTCTCCTGAGAGCTGTTCCAGGGAGGCTCTGCTGAGTAAAAACACCACCCATCTGCTATGGAAGAAAACAGACATGCTCTTTTCAAGTGCTTCTTAAGGGAAAGGTTTTAAAAATCCCACTTGAAAAAAAAAAAAAAAAAAAAAACCTTTGCCAGGAGATGGTCTATTAGGCTGCAGTACAATCTCAGTTTCCATAAAACACCTGAATTCCTTCTCTACCACCCTGAGCACTATGCTTTTAAAGACCCTTTCTTGTTATTGCTATTGCTATTGCTACAAATCCCCGTCACACAAATGCACCCAGAATTGAGGTGCCTGAGCAGATGGGCTTCTAAGTTCAGATGCCAAGCAGCCCCTGGGCTTCCAAGCTAAGCCAACCTGTATCCACTCAGGGTTGCTGTCTTTGTTGCAAGAGTACCTCTGTTTTCTTGGAACTCTAACAGAAGCTTTGAGAATACAGGTACAATTTTATGTTTTGGTTCAGTTATTTAAGAGAAAGTCTAAGACCACTTTAGAGGGACCTGAGAAAAGATGACTTGAGAACGAAAGTCAGGATGTAGTCAATGGAACACGTCTATTAGTTCAGCATTATGCACTTGGTATAGGAGCACAGAAAAGTGTAAAGCTTAAGTAACTTGTTCAAGTCACAAGATTATAGGCTGGGCTCAAATTCTGCTCTCTCTGTGTCCATGACTTGTCCTCAGGAAGCAAGTGATGCTGGGGCCAGGAAAAGGTACTGTAAGGTGGTTGTATATAGAATTATTTGTGTCTGGATGTCCCCCCAAAACCTCACGCAGTCATGGGGAGGCTGCTGAATCTACAGTTTGTGATTGCTTCATGGTTCAATGCTGGGATTAAAGATGTGAGCGATATACCCTCTGCAGGGCAGATAGCCTGCGTACGGCTATCTGCATATAAGGGAGAAAAAGAGGTTTGCTTTTTCCCTTTTTTTGCTCTTGCTGCTTTTGCTGTCTTCTGCCACCATGAACCTTTGCCCCTCTGTCAAGCCACCTTGCCTTGGAGCCAACCAATTACGGACTGAAACCTCCACAAACTGTGTGCTAAATAAACCTTTCCTCCTTTAACTAGTAAGTGTT